CTTGTCCACACTGACAGACTGTGTTATTGTCCCTAGGCTCTGCTCTGTTTGACATCTTTAGGGGAACAGATGAATTATGAAGTGCATGGAGGCAGAGTAGTAAATTTACACATTCTCACACTAATAAACTCATGGGAGTTCTGCAATTGTGAATCCAACCTAGCTGCATTGCCTGTAGAGGAGGAAGAATGAGTTCTTGGCCATCTCCTCTGAGGCTGAGTGGTGCCCTCTTCCATTTGTTAGAACTGTCCCTGATTTCAACCTTTGTCAGTCAGGGGACACAACCATGCAAGGTTTTCCGAGTGTGAAAAGGACAATCCTGGCCAGGGAAGATTTAGAAAGCTGAAAGGAAAGTCTTTTTCTGCTGACTGACTTAGGGTTTCCCTGTCACTGGATAAAAGCTATGAAAGCAGATTGTGGGAGGAATTTGTGCATGCTCTGCTGTAAAGGACCTTTGCTTTATAAACAATGTTTAGTGAAAGCAATGGAGGGAAGTTTAACACAGAGCCTAGTTTATGTAGCTAATTTAAAGATCAGATAATTGAAATGATTGCTTTCAAGCTGATTAAGAGGGTACCAAGACCAAGTGAAAGTACATAGAGAGAAATCAGCTGTGGACAGTGATATCTGCAAAGGCAAGGAAAATTTGTATTACCGAAAAGGGACTTTAAAGGGAAACAACCAGGTTTACCTGTAACATTCTTAACATTTAAAGATGCTCTTCTGAAAGGAAACTGCACTCTCTGAAGCTTGAAAATTTTCAGAATCCTTTTTTCTAATAGAGTCCTTTTTATGGGACAGTGCTGGCTCATGTATATTGCAATGTAACTTTCTCGTGATTTTAATACTGAATAATCAAAGTCACTGCTTTTGTGCCTTTTCTAAAAATGGCATTCAGTCATGACAATGGTAAGCATTTTGAAACCTGAAAAAAAGAAAAAAAAAGAAAAAAAAAACAATTTGCAGAATGTATTTCTCTTAATTTCTTTGAAATATCCAAAAACTGCTGACATAGAGACAGCACTTCTTAAATGAAGATGGCTTCTGGCAGTTCCAGCAGTTTTAGTAAAATGTTACTGACTTAGCCAGGATTAGGTCTGAACTGTTTTATTTACCCTATGAAGAATTTGTCTACTGACCTAAGTAACTTGCAGGAAATTGAGATGATGATTACCATACATACTTTGAACTAGGAGCTAATCCAGACTTTGACCAAGAGGTTAGCTAATACTCATACCCTTGCATGTTGTACTTCAACACTGTTGCACTGGGGTGATGTAGTAAGCCAGTTTGCATTAAGTAATGCTGTACATCTGTATATGGTGTAAAACACTTCATTTACTACTGGCATGATAACGAACAAACCTTAATTCTAACATTTCAGAGGACGCGTGGAATGGCATGCTTACAGCTCCATTGACAGAGGTTTGCAGAAACAAAGTCCCTTCTCACCACTTCTAGTGTCTTACTAGTGAAGATAGCAGCATTTTAGAGTTCTCAATTGTTCTTAGTTGTCAAATCCAATAACCAGGTAGTGCCAATAAAAATAAATGCTGCAGGGTTATGTTATGCTTTTCTGTAAATGCTGTTATGAAGCTATTGCTCCCCAAAAGTAAGAATCCAGGTTCACAGTGAGTACATGTATTTACAGAGGACTAACTTACCTGCTGAGGAATTTTAGTATCATGCTTCACATCTTAAGGAACAAAAGCTCAGCTATTTCTCCAATATGGCTTTACTGGTGTAACTGTCAGTCCTGTGTAATTGTGCTGGTAGAACAGGACTGAAAGCTGCAGTCGTATCAGAGCAAATTGTTTTATTTTTAATTTGGGTGATGGAAATATCTGTGCAAGGACTTACTAGATCCATATCTTGTTAAGTGAATAGGTAAATGTACATTGACTTCTTTTCTTGACAGCTTAGTCTTTATTAGTTTGATTTGCAGTTCTCATTGTAGCTTAACAGCCTTTTCAGTGTAACAAAATGGAAAGTTACTACTTTTCTTAGCTACTGCCTATTGAAGTTGGGCTTTGATCTTTACAGGTCCCTTCCAACTCAAATGATTCTATAATTTAGCTTATGCCTTAATTGTATTCATATTGTAACGTCACATCGATATGCTATGGCTGTCATACAATTCCATGTCACCAAATTGGTATTAGAGCATGCCCTAAAGTGCCCCAAACAGATTTCCCTTAACGTGTTGGAAAGCATACTTTAGTTATCGGCTTTTAAATTGAGAACTTTTAAAAGCATTTTTGGAGCTCTTTTGGAGAGCTTCCAACTCAAGAACAGGTTTCAGATGGGCACGTTGGAGACTGTAGACTGCTATGCAGACCAGAAAATGGCTTTTCTTCAGCTACAGCAGTGCTGTCACAGCTGGGATTTAACCTTCCAACCTCTGGGTTTCCTCTGGAGTTCATAGTGGATGTGAAATTATAGTTGGTACATTTGTAAACATGGTGCTGTCTTAATGGCTGTCTGCTTTTGGTGCACAGAAGCATTATCTGCCGAAGCAAATCAACAGATTTCTCAGCAAGGCTGATGTTGTCCTATTAAATTACTGCCCGTTTGTTTTTGGGTAATGCCAATCCTGCCGTTGTCCTGACTGAAAGCCGCCTTGCAGCACCCATAGGTACAGTGCGGTGTAGCAGGCAGATATCTCAGACTGAACAGAGCAATGTGTGACTGCAGCTTCAGAGACTTGAGCAAATTGGTCAGAGCTACAGTTAGTTATTATTTTTAAATCTTTAAAATCTGTCCTGCATATAGAAAAGCATAATTTGTGTGCTGTGAGTCCATATGGTGTTTCTGGAAAAGCAAAGTATTACTGCCAGTACCATTTCTTCCTGCTGGTAACTTGCTGTCTTGTGTCAATGACAAGTCTGTAGTGTACAACCACATAGAATTACCAAAGCTTTTCTATTCCCATAGACACAGAGTCACAAGTAACAGTCCATGGGTTAGTACTGTTACTTATGGGTACACATATATCCACCAGGTACTGGTACACAGTGACAGACACTTCCCATATTTAAAAGATTGGTGTTAGATGCTGCTTTGGTGTGCAAAATTCACGCACCATTAAAATCAAGGGTTTTATGTGGTGTTTTTTCTTCTTTTTTTTTTTTTTTAAACTCTTTTTAAATTAATCATATTGTTGTTATTCTGAAAGGAATGGATAAATGGGGTGACTAAACCTGGTGCCTCTGTAGCCAGGCCTTAGCTTTGGAACATCAGAAAGAAGGGGCTGTGACCTGCACTGCTGTGTGCCACAGCATCTCTGAGTTGCTGGGAAGCAGCCTTACATGAGATCCAGATGTCACCCACAGCCACGTGGGTATGGGGGCAGAACTGCCACCAACCTGGCTTATCAATACTCTTGATCAGAAACGAAGTAACTCCTTTCTCTTTTTATTTTCCCTACTTGGCCTTCCTAATTGGCATAACTTAATACTGCTGGGTGGTGGCCACTGAAAGCTCCTGAGGAGGGTTTGAGCCAATCTGCAGCAGCAGTGAGGAGCTGGGCTGTGCAGGGCCCTGCTGCCTGGGGTGGCAGTGCATGGCTTTGGTCTATCAGAGGGTACGTGTGTGTACTCTGGGGGCAGACAGAATGGAGGAGGTCACGTTTCTCCTGTTCCAAAGGAACAGTGCTAGCAGTCTCGCTTTGGCTAGACTTTAGATTTTTGTGAACTTACTTTAAAGGGAAAGGAACTGGATTAATATACATGAAAACTGTATCTCATGGTTCAGTCCTTACTCTGAGTCCAGTGATGAGGAGTGGAGGTCAGGGCCCGCTGTCGGAAGATACAAGGACACTTCACTCCAAAGTGGATACTCCAGGAAACACTTCAGAGGTTTCCATGTCTCTTACTCCAATCACAGCCCATCCTTTTCCTGAAAGGTTATCTCATGTGGGTTTAAAACGAGGGTTATGTTTTGGTTGCTGAGCAGGCGTTAGGCTGTCAGGTCCCAGTCTTGGTTTCTCATACGTACCAGCTTACAGTTGGTATCAGCCCTCCAATCTCACGGTCCATTACAGCCTCGCCTGTCATCTCAGCCCTCCCACAGTCATACGATGGAGAATCACTGTAAATACATGGAGGAGATGTAGATCAGTCGGAACGTAGACTTTGTTTTCATGAAGCTATGAATAGAAATTTGTAAATTTCTCTTGTACATTTTTATGTAGCCATTAAAATCTCTATTTAATCTATCAGTTTCTCACTGTAAATGTTTTTACTCTCAGTTGAATGCTGGGCACAGTTTGTAATGTATGTACACAAAGGTGTTTTTTTCTATCAACGTTGACTTTTTTGCACATTTTTGGAACTATTTAATTTGTACACTGATTTACTACTCTGACCAATTGTCGGTGGGTGTGTGCGAACCACGTGTGTGTGCAATGTACTACTGGTGGGTGTGTGGGTTTATTTTGACTACGGAGACGTCGCTGTCAGTAACGGCATTGCTGGTGCAGCTTTCCATGGAACCTTGTGTATGAAACCGGGATCTTAAAGGAGGGCCGTGCAGTTCCCGGGGTCGGCGCCTCGGAGCGCTGCTGCCGGGTTTCCTTGTCCCACAACTGCTGAACTTTAACGGAAGCCCCGAACCCTGTAATTGTGTATGCATTGAATGTGTGTGTATATATCCCCGTGATCTTATTCCACAGTTTCATTTCTACATTTTTATGAACTTGTTTTTTAAGGGTACTATGTTTAGTTAGAATAATTAAATATATAAAAGCTTTGAGAGATAATTTACTAGATAAATATATTTTCAGCTGGCTGATGTTCAAAATATTTTTTTAATTTTTTGTTTTTAACCATTCAAAATGTATTTGTATTTCCAAAATCAGACACGAATTGTACTTAGAAATATATTAAAACACGCTGTAGGGACAACGGTGTCGGCAGTTCTGTCGTTTGTTCCAAAACCGCCCTCCGCCCCGCCCCTCGCCGCCCTTCCCGCCGCTCCTTCCCACCACGCCGTCGCGCCGCGCGGCGGAAGTGACGCAACGTCGTCCGGTCGCCGCCGTTCGGCCGGGCGCGGCGCGGCGGCCATGGGCAGGAAGGAGCGGGGTGAGCGGGGCAGGGCGGGGAAGGGGCGCCGGGGCCGTGGCCGCCGCGGGGCGGGGGTTGGCGGGCGGAGCGCGGCTCTCTAACGCCGCGGTGTGCCGCAGACAAGAAGAAGTCCAAGAAGCGGCACTACGAGGACGAGGAGGAGGAGGAGGATGACGCTCCCGGGAAGGACTCGCAGGAGGCCGTGCCCTCGGCGGCGGGGAAGCAGGTGGAGGACAGCGGCGCCAAGCTGGACGAGTACGGCGCCAAGGACTACCGGCTGCAGATGCCGCTGAAGGCCGACAACGCCTCGCGGCCGCTCTGGGTGGTACGTGCGGCTCGGCGCGGCGCTGCGGTGGCGGTGGCGGGGCGGCCGCGTGCAGGGAAACGGCCGCGGGGCGGGCTGGGCTTCACCGCGATTTGCCTGGGACGAAAAGGGCGTCCGTGCGCTCGTTGGCTGTCCGAAGTGAGGCCGGCAGTACGGGCGCAGTTGGGCGAGGCGGCTGACCGTAACACGGGGTGTTAACCCGGAGGGCTGTGTCAGGCCGGCCGCGTTCGAGTTTTGTTGCCAGAGAAGGAACGCAGACGAACCCACGTCTGGTCCCGCTTAGAAGACAACGTGTGTCTGTTCCTGTGGCCGTGCCGGCAGCTCTCGTCTGCTCGTGCGGTTCCACTTAGGGCTGTCTGCCTTCATCAAGGTGCTCCCTCGGGGATGAGCAGTCCAGTGCGATGTATTGGATGCACAGCCCGGGTCACGCTGCCTTTCTGGCCTTTCTTGTTAGGTTGACTCTTTTTCAATGAGATTACTGTTTCTCTTTTCCTTGTTACCTCATTCTTGAGGCAGATGCCTTAAGTTTCAGCACTGGATGAAACCGGTGATAAATTACCACCTAAATAGAGGAGTCTGTGTCCCGATGCTTTGTAAGAAAGTCCTGACTTTCTTCAGCTGACACTGGCACACCTTCTGCGTTTCCTTGTGTTTCTGTAGGCTCCTGATGGCCATATTTTCCTGGAAGCCTTTTCTCCAGTTTACAAATATGCACAGGATTTTTTGGTTGCCATTGCTGAGCCCGTGTGCAGACCGACTCACATCCATGAGTACAAACTGACTGCTTACTCCCTGTATGCTGCTGTCAGTGTCGGCCTGCAGACCAGTGATATCACAGAGTACCTGCAGAAGCTGAGCAAGACCGGTGTGCCGGAGGGAATCATTCAGTTCATCAAGGTAAGTCTGTGTTGTTGTATTGCAAAGCCATCTGATGTTCTTATCTGCTGTATCTGCATTACTGCTATATCTTTATATACATCTCTTTTTACTCAATGTTTTTACCATCTTACTCTATTCTGTGATACTGTTATAAGAGAGCAGAGACTTTATCTTACTTTTTCCCTTTTTCTGTTGTATATAGCTCCATAAATATTGGTGCGTTCTGACAATTTTTCTTTGAGGTTGTTGCATAAGCATAACAGTGCTGCAAATAAACGAAGATACAGCATGTTCTTACAAGAAACTGAATTGCACCCAAACCTAGAATCACTCTTTTGGGTTTTCCTAATTACTGCTGTTATCTGTTTGCAGCTGTGTACCGTCAGCTATGGGAAGGTGAAGCTGGTGCTGAAACGCAACAGGTAGGCTGCTTTTGCTACAGTTGGTGTTAAAGAGGTGATCTTCCAAAAACTCCTTGAGAGTAGCCCTGCTGAGGTGAATGTAGGGATCCTGGCAGATGGAAAACGTAACATGATCCAGCAGTGAGTGTTTGCTGCCTGGAAGGCCGGTGATATCCAGGGCTGCAAGAGAAAGGGGTGCATGGAACAGGGGTGACCAGCAGGGTGAGGGGGGTGATTGTCCTTGTGAGGCCCCATCTGAGTTATAACGTCCAGGTCTGGGGCCTCCAACACAGGAATGATGTCAGGCTTTTGAAGAGGGTCCAAAGGAGGGCCACAAACATGTCCACCGTGCTGGAGCACCTCTTCTCTGAAGACAGGCTGAAGGAGCTGGGCTTTTTTAGTCAGGAGAAGAGAAAGCTGCAGGCAGACCTCATTACAACCTTCCAATATTTAAAGGGAGATTAGAAACAGAAGAGAAAACAACTTTTCACATGGGTAGATAGTGGTAGAACAAGGGGGAAAGGTTTTAAACTGAAGGAGGGAAGATTGATAATGTGAAAATCCGCAATGCTTTTGAAGTGAGGCACCTTTTAAAATTTTTGATGGTTGTAATTTGTTTATTTTTAAATTACCGCCCCCAAAGTGGGATACTTGCGAGTGTATCTGGGCCGGTTATAGATTTGAGCACTCACCACTTTTTACTGTAAGTTATTGTCTACTGTAAGTTCATAGAGATGTGTTTTTTTTTGTTCTTTTAGGTATTTTGTGGAAAGTACCCATCCTGATGTCATTCAGCAACTCCTGCAAGACCACGTTATTAAAGATTGTCGCCTGAGAAATGCTGAAGGTGAAGAAACAGAGCTCATTACAGAGACATTCACAAGTAAATCAGCGGTATGTTTGGCATGTTTTAAAACATTGAAAACATTTTAAAACATGGAATTAACAGTAGATAAGCTGTTCTGTAGCTTGGAGTCATTCTTGTACGTTAGTTATGTCAGCAGTTGTTTTCAGTTTTGTCAGCCATGCTCTGCCTTGTTAATTAGCCCCATTTCAATGAATGTTGGGGGGGGAGCATCTCTAGTGAACCTTTTGGTGAAAGTTCTTTTCTGTCTTTTTCAGATTTCCAAGTCCAGTGAAAGCAGCTTTGGTCCATCGACATCGCAAGAAGCAGATGTTCAAAACAAGCCGGATGTCCCAGCTGACTTATATGAGTTTTATGAACAGATGGACAAAGATGAGGAGGAGGAGGAAGAAACACAGACAGTATCTTTTGAAGTCAAGCAGGCATGAACATTTTTGTCTCTTAGCATTTGCAGCTTTAAGGGATGTGCCCCGGACTCAAATAAGCATGAGAGATAATATAAAGTATAGTGGTTGCTTGTTTAATGTAGGTCACCGGAAGTCAATAATGTTTCTTTCCTTTTGCATTCCAAAATCTTGGGATATTCCTTCCCAGTACAAAGTGAGCAGACTGCAGAATGTTCCTTCTCTGCCCACAGAGTGTAGTGGCTCACAAGCTAGAGAGGTTCCAGAAGCTAAGGGAGGTTCTGTTTGTGCTCGGCTTGATGCTGCTTTGTGCAGGACTAAAGAGAATTCAGTGGTAAATCTGCTGTTAGTTTCGGAACATTTTTTCCTCACAATTGATATTTACAGAAGAAACTCTTGGTGGCTCTGTTTTCCTAGCTTGAGAGGTTAGAGATGGAGGCTAGAGTACAGTCCTGACAGGTTTTCAGAGAGCTTTTGTAAAGCTTGTTGCAACCTGGACTTGGCAATTCTAATAAGGTTTTTCTGGGGAAAACAGAAGTAATAAAAAGAGAACTTACTAATAACCAGAGAAGTACTTGAGAACTAGAAACTTTGTGGTGATTGAATCAACCTGTCACAGTGGTGGAATAACTGTGTTGTCAGTGTGTGAAGCTTTTCCCTGTAACAGGTGTGCAGCTTCAGTAGGTCTTTCCATGTAGCACACAGGACGTTTTGTTTCTGTTAATGAGGTTTTTGTTACAGGGCTTCGGAGTATAGTTCAGTCACTGCCAGATGAAGAATGCATTTCAGATTAATGTGTCTTACACTTCCATCTGTCAAAATAGCTCTCTCTAGTACAGGCTGTTATTTCAAATGTTGGAGCAGGGGGGTTGTCACAAAGTTATTGAAATGAACTTCAGCTCTTGCAGACTTAATGAGTATAAAAGTTAAATGTGACTTCAACTTATTACTGTGTAATCAGTAATTGTTAAATGATGTATTAATTCAGATGTGGAGAATTTAGCACCTGAAGCTTTGTCTCCTCCTCAGGAGATGATTGAAGAACTTCAGAAGCGTTGTATCCAATTGGACTACCCATTGCTGGCAGAATATGATTTCAGAAATGATTCTGTGAATCCTGATATTAATATAGATCTGAAACCTACAGCTGTCCTCAGACCCTATCAAGAGAAAAGCCTGAGGAAGATGTTTGGAAATGGGCGAGCCAGATCTGGTGTTATTGTCTTGCCATGTGGTAAATTGCTGTGTTGATTTTTATTTTTTTTTAAAGGGTTTTCTTCTTTAGGGTTTCTGTTCTTTATTTGCCTGCAATAAAGTAACTTTCAAATCTGTCAGCTGCTTAGACTTCAAACTGTGATAGGGACTGGTCTGGGTACAAGTATGCCAAGCCCTGATGGATTTTAGCAAGTGAGTGATGAGAGTGGTGAGGAAAAGCCCAGTTAGTAGAGCTGTCAGGTGTTTTGTTTCACTAGTCACTGAAGAGCTCATCTGTAGCTGTGATAGATTACCATTAATATTTTTTTCTGTGCCCTCTGAGTCAGCTCTGCTGATTTTCCAGTGAAATGTAAAACTGCTGGCACTGGAATAATTTCATCCCTGGGTGAGAACAGGGAGGTGGAGGAGCTTGGGTTTCAAGCAAGAAGGTTGAGACAACCCCTGGGAAGCAGTTAAAGAGGAAGAGAATGGGAGATTGCTTATGGCAGTGCAGGAGATACGAGGAGGGCTTGAAAGAGTGCATGAGGGATGTCGGAGGAAATGTGAAACAGGAATGGAAACACATAAGGACTTGCTGTGTGGTGTAATGTACATAGCTTGCAGGGCAAGTATGGGGGAGATGGCCTCTAGTAGAAGCTTTCTGTAGCCACCTGGAATTTATCCTGTATTTGAAATGAAGAAAACAGTATGATTGCTTCTAACTGGCAAAAGCAATGTTTACGATGATTTTCTTAAAACAGCAGCTCGTGGTAGGCAATGCAGGTGTTTTTATAGAAGTAGACAGTCAATTTCTTTAAGACTACTCTAGTAAAGAAGCAGTGAAGTCTGCCCTTACGTGATTTCATATCCTCTCAAACATTTCCTATTGTCCTTCACTCTTTTTCCATCTATTCCAATGATATCTGTGAGGTAAATAGTGAATATCACTCCTTCCACAGGTGCTGGCAAGTCTCTAGTTGGAGTGACAGCTGCGTGTACTGTCCGCAAGAGGTGTCTGGTCCTTGGTAATTCTGCAGTGTCTGTAGAACAGTGGAAAGCGCAGTTCAAGATGTGGTCCACCATCGATGACAGTCAGATATGTCGCTTCACCTCTGATGCCAAAGATAAGCCCATTGATTGTTCTATTGCTATCAGCACGTATTCCATGTTGGGACACACAACTAAAAGATCCTGGGAAGCAGAAAGAGTAATGGAGTGGCTTAAAAGTCGAGAATGGGGCCTTATGATACTTGATGAAGTACATACTATTCCTGGTAAGGAAATGATGTGCAGGCCCTCATGCTGTATGTGCTGGTAATATTGCTTTGCTCTGTAAAAGCTTGTGGGGTTATCAGCTTGCTCACGTTTAATCCAGTTGGTAAACCCAAGGCATAGGGTTTTGAGACAAACAAGTAAACTGCCATCTTTTCCCCCTCCCCCTGCCCAGTGTTACGGAGTTTAACTGACCTTTGATTTTTTTGTTTGTTTGTTTTTTTGAAACCATTCTAAAGTTCTGTTGTTCTCTACAATGGTAGTAGAAAATATGAGTGGCTTTCTCCTTTTGTGTGGGTTGATAAAATGCTTGAGAGGGTACTCAAATTAAATGTGTATGATTTTGCTGTAGACAGATTTGTTTGCGTGTGGCAGTATTCTCTTTAGGAACAGGACAGAGTTAATCTACCATCTTTGGTTTTGAGATGCAATTACACTGTAGGCTTAGGTGTTTCTGTCTATTTCTATTCCATAAAATTCGAGTAACTGTAGTAGTAACTGGCCAGAAATAGTTGTGTTAGTTGAAGACTATTGGAAAGCAGTAATGTGGTATTAAAGTGTCTGTGGAGTTATCCTGGTGAAGTGTACCACCCAGGATTCCGTCAGCTGTTCTATATTGCTGTCATGTTTAAATTTGAGTATAATTTGGTCTCCACTGGAGTGATAGATTTCTGGGATGGACTTTGATTAACAAAACAGCATGTTGCTGACACAGTTCTTTCACTTTTCTTCATTTCATAAAAATTAAGGTATAAATTCTTCTATGCCTGCAGAGCAATCACAGGATTTGAAACAGTGCTAAAGATAAATAATTCTGCCTTATATTAGTCCTGAATGTGACAAAGTCAGCCAAGAGTACTTGTGTTATCTGTCTTTTTATGAAATGCTACATGGCTAAGTCATGTAACCTGTCTCTATTACTTTTCTTTTTGGGAAACAGGAAGTAATACAAATGCAAAAGGTTGATAGGGTTTTTTAGAGTACACTGGAGCTGAAATCAGTGTGAAGTTAGAAGTGTATGTGAAATGGGATGATAATTCCTAAGACCATGGTTGCTCTGTGTTCAGGAGTTTATGTTTTATTTATTTTTTTAATATGTAAAATTGCAGTACTTGTATTCTAAATCCATTCAGGAAAGTAAACAGAAAGTGTGTCTTATGTTTCTTAGCAAAAATGTTCAGACGTGTGCTCACTATTGTACAAGCTCATTGTAAACTGGGACTGACTGCTACCCTGGTCAGAGAAGATGATAAAATTGTTGATCTGAACTTCCTGATTGGACCAAAGCTTTATGAGGCCAACTGGATGGAGCTGCAGAACAGTGGCTACATTGCTAAAGTCCAGTGTGCTGAGGTAATGTTCTGCTTTTCCGTACTATATTTAGTACAGTGTATATTTAGCATGCTTATAGCTTTTTTTAGCTGTTTTGTTTTATTTGTTTGTTTGTAAGGAAGAACTGTAAGTATTGAACTGTGTGAGCAGGAGGTACCTTGTTGGCTTTTCACTTAGTTGCTTGAGAAGGGCTGTCGGTAGTCAGTATGAACGTGCTGCAATCCTGTAGTGTGTCTTCAGCATTGTTTCTCTTTCTGGGCAGTTGTGGTGCTTGATCAGTTCTCTCTAATTTAGCATTTGGGGGAAAAAAAAGCAATAGAACCTGCAGTGTTGTAGACCTACTCTGATGCAGCTGGCATTCGCATTGATTTCATTTTGTGTTTTAAACTCAGTTCTGTATGATAGTGTTGGTCAAATGGTATACTTGAAGCTGCTTTTGAGAGACTTCAGCTAGTAGCCTCTTGTTGTTTTTGAGAAAAATTCTTGTAACTGTTAAAACAAAGGATGGTAGGGAGCTTAAAAATTAAGACAACACCTGCTTATTTCAAGCCTTAAGGCCCCAGAATGAAAACAGAAAACATGGCACTAGATCTTGCTGTGTCTTTCCAATACAATCATGTGTGACCTCTTCTTTCCAGCAAATGGATGAGATGAAGATCTAATGTCACATAAGTGGAAACATTTCAGCCAGGCATGATAAAATGTTGGAAATAGCCTTTCTGGGTCAGACTGAAGGTCTAGCCTAATCCATTGTCTGAGATAATTTTTAAGAGCACAGAGCAAATTGGATTATTAAGTAAACTCATACAGATTGTCACAGGTGTGAATAGATTTTTTGCTGAGGATCTTTTAGCTGAGGAATAATTATGAAAGAGGACTTTTTAAATATTATTTGTTAAATTTGTACTGTGTGATTAATATGGTAGAAGAAGCCACATATAGAACAAATGTACGTAATTTAGATGACATTATGCATGTTGTCATGACATGCTGTAGTGTCATTGCATTTGCATAAAGTTCATAATTTCTTCTATTTTCAATCTCTACTGTAAAGAAAAACTATCACAGTGACTGAATCTGTACAGTACTGTGATATGTATGTCAGTTCATGCACAGTGCATGATACCATGCAGATAAAGCCATTGAGAACTTCTAATAAATTCTGTTTTGTAAGATGTAAATTCAATATATCTGAAAATAAAGCTGATTATATATGAGGAAAGGATTGGTAAATGTGTTCTGTAATGAGGACTAAATATATCTAGGTTTTCAGAACATGGATGAAAATGAATTTTTAGGGCAAAGGCCTCGACTGCAGTGACAGAAATATTGCACAGTTAATTTCTTTCACTCTACTTTTGTAAAATGTAGTAGCATTCAGTGAAACTATCAGATTTTAAACAAGCATTTTCCTGTCCTGTTCCAATCCCACTGCCAGTTTCTGTCGTGGATCTCACTGCCCCAGCGTTTTGGAAGATCATGATATTAGTGAGGTAAAAAGAGTTAGTTGCTCTAGAAACTAGACCAGTCAGTACTTCATTTTAGTACAGAAATTAATTGTGTTAGGATTTGTGGCTTCTGCTGCATAGAAAGGTGTAATGCATTATTATCCCCTAATATTGTTTAAATTCTTACTGGAGTTAAATAGGTAACTGGAATTTACTTTGTGTATATTCTCTAATTCTAGGTTTGGTGCCCAATGTCACCTGAATTTTACAGGGAGTATGTAGCAATCAAAACAAAGAAACGGATACTGCTGTACACCATGAACCCAAATAAGTTTAGAGCTTGCCAGTTCCTGATTAAGTTTCATGAGCGACGGAATGATAAAATCATTGTTTTTGCTGACAATGTGTTTGCACTGAAGGAGTATGCAATCAGACTTGGGAAGTAAGTGTTCAGAACTAGTGATGATGCTGTTACTTTCCTCCTTCCTGGAAAATTAACTTGTAATCTTACAGATCTCAGTAACTTCTAGACATTTGTTATAATACTTTAACTACAATTCTCATATAGGAGGAGCTGAGGAGGCTACACTTTGGATGGATTGTGTAGGTGTTGAAACATTAATTCCATTGTAGAATTGTTTGAAAAGAATCTCTATTTAGCACTTGGCTCAGAGGACTTTTCATCCAAGTTTTCTATGAATAACTTCGTATTTATCCATTTATTTTTTTAATTATTGTTGAAAGCCACTTGGCAAAATTAGGGAGCCTTTAAAAATCTTTCCAGAACTATTTCTGTAATGGACTGTAGCTTCTCTCCTGTCTCTCTGACAGGAATATTTTTAAATGTGCACTTGGGATCTTTCAGGATCAGCTATCCTATATGTCTGTAAAATTATTGCAAATAGAGTTTGCTGAGGGGTTGACCTTAGTGTGTTTGAATGGCTTGGGAAGGGATGATCAGAGAGAACGTTTGCAAGGATCAGGCATACAGCAATTTCATGGGGAAAATAAGCATTAGAAGCTAGCCTCATGCTTTCTGTGTCAAGCTCAAATAATGTGTTGATTACTGGAAGCTGTGGGGCATTTTGACTGTATGATTTAATGTCTAGGAATTTTGACAATACTCAGCAAAACTGCAAACAAATCTTTTTGCACTTTCTACAATTAATGATCACTTTTCACAATAGTTTAATGGCCATGTTGTTTTGGCTTGCTGTGCATCAAATAGCAGAGCTAGTAGTTCTGGATGAATTCCAACACCCGTGGTCTCTTTCATCATTTTTTAAATCTGTCTGGACAGAGATTAGCTGTAATGATGCCTCTGGAATGTTGCTAGCAGTGTGCAGTGCACCGCAGAACAAGAGCCTTTAACAAAGGCACATGCCTAGAAGGGGTGCTCGCAAAGTAGCCTAATGGTTTATAAGTATGGAAGATGCTGTAGAAGTACAGCAGGAGAACTATTTGAACATTAGGTGCTTGTTTTTCACATTCTTGACTCAATTCTCCTTCCCACATGATGTGTATGGTCTCCAGTTTATATAGCTGTAATAGAGAAAGAGGGGTAAGAGCTGTAATAAAAGAGAAAGAGGGGTTGCAGTGCTAGATGAAACAGAACATTTTAACTGGAAAGTTCTCTAATTGTAGTTTGTCATGGGCATGCTCAGAGTTGGCTTTAGGCATAAACAGGGGCTGCTAGTTTGGGTGTGGCAGGAATTATGGGTCTGTGTAGGAGGGAGCAGTCCAGTGGGTGCTGCAGTAGTAGCCCAGGCTGTGTGTGCCTGGCTGTGCTGGCTCAGCAGGTCGGTTCCACTGCCTGGTTCAAGTGTTCGGGGCAGGTGGGCTCCCCTGTGGAGGGAAATTGGCACTTCTGGTTGGCTGCTGCTGCAGCAACTCCTCCTCTACCCCATTCCATTCGCTTGGTACCAGCAGGGAACAGAACATGCCCGTGACAGGAATTATTTTTGCCTTTAACTTTTGAGGCCTCAGAACTCAAATTTCTTAAGCCAGTTTTTACTGTCCTAAGTCTGTCATCCAGAGTCATATAGCTCATGCTGTTTTTTTTCATTGGTGCTATTAATATGTTTAAATCACTGTGTAATGAGCTCCCTGCCATGATATCTTAGTACCTGTTAATAAATGAGAAATTTTGAATTGGTTTAATTTGCATATGTTCTGTTTTTTTCAGACCATACATATATGGTCCTACTGCACAAGGAGAAAGAATGCAAATTCTACAAAACTTCAAGCACAATCCAAAAATCAACACTATTTTCATTTCAAAGGTGAGGATGTAGTATGCTGTACTCATCTTCATAATGAACCTTATATAAGAACAAGTTATACATGCACATTGGGCATTTGACATTATTGCAATTAATAAAGGTGTACTTTGTGCAAAGTTGTTGTTACTGGTATGTGGAAAAAAGATGCTGCTCAAACACTGCTTCTCTGTTGTAGGTGGGTGACACATCCTTTGATCTGCCTGAAGCCAATGTTCTGATTCAGATTTCATCCCACGGTGGATCTCGAAGACAGGAGGCTCAAAGGCTGGGGCGAGTACTGAGAGCCAAAAAAGGTGAGGTAGTTCTTGGGCTCTGCTTGTTGGAATACAGTATAGCATTCAGATAATTACTCAGCTATTTAGAATACTGAAACACAGACTGAATAAACTGCAATATTATGAATAAGAAGGTAGTTTAAGATCCTGTGTGAGAGAAGTGTTGGGTTTTTGTGGTAGTAATACGGATGCCGTTCTGTTTCTCATTTGCAGAATCTCTTATTTCTTTTCTCCATTTTTTTAGCCAGAAATGAATTTTCTTGAATACTTCATTGCAACAGGAGGGCAAAGACAATGCAAGAGTTTACTATGCCAAAATAGTATTGTTTCCCCCTTTCTGTTTTAAGGACTTATGCTCAGCTATGTCAAATCTGCGTAGTGTTAGTAGAAGCATTCAGTGTTCCAGGAGCCAGAATACCCAGTGATGGTTTTTTTTCCTCCAAACTTGTGAATTTGTATATAAACTATGTTACAATAAATCCAGCATTGTTTCTATGAGGTATTTCTCTCCTCTAATGCTTGTTTTATTATTTTATTAAAGTTGAGTAGTTGTTGAGTGGTTATTAAAGTGGAGGTTGTAGAAAGCTGTATCACTAACAGGAGCAGGAATCCTCTCCATCCATAACAAAGTGTAAATGGAGTGCTGTAGCATTCCCTTCCTACCCAAAGACTGTCAAAATCACGTTTACATTATCAGGTTGAATAGTTCGTTGGGTTTTTGCTGTTCCTTCCCTCATCCTCCAGTATATTTCTAGAGGATAAATAAACTGTAAACTGAAAAGCTATTGGTCGCTCTGGCCTGGGATATCTGTGGAGTTGCAGTGTCACTGTAGCTTCAGTGATGGTGAGCTTTGCTTTTTATGGTATGTTTTGGATTCAGAGTGTGGAGATCACCTAGGAAAAAAAACTGTCCAGTTGTACTGGCATTTTTTTTTTTCTGTGATGGTATGTATATGAGTAGGAGTTAAACTTATTGAGGAGTCGGGGTTTTAGGAACTGCTTCATTGGTTTGAAATCTATCTGTGTCTCAGTTTGAAGAATGTATATAAGTGCTATTGGGATGCTTCTGTCACTTCTTCTTCTGACATTTCTATTAGTCTTGAACTAAGGAGAATTGCTCTTAGGCGGAGTTTGCTGGTTGACTTGTTTAACTGAATGTATCCTGAAAGGCACTCACATAAGTCTGTTCTATTAACTGATAAATAGGAGATGTTTAATCTGCTCTAATCCCATTTATATCTTCTTGAGACAAATTATAAAGTAGCTCAAGGTGAAATGGTTCTACTTCAAGAATTCTCTCGTGTTAAGGTAGTAAGAAGCTTAGAAATTGGTTTATGTCACAGCCTGTTGGCATTTGGTTTAGATAGAATGAGTATTCCCTAGGAAGTGGACATATTTCAGAGGAAGTTATTGGTAACTGTCAGGTGGAGAATAAAATTGCAGTGCTTCAGTTCTGTGTTGGTTGGTGGTTTGTGTGTTTGTGTGTTTGATTTGGTTGTTTTTCATTGTTAGAAAAAAATGCACAGACTGGTTTATCCTTTTATCCTCCTTTTAATGCAAAAAGATTTCTAACTTTGGCTTACACTGATAAATTTCCATGGTAATTTCTGTTTAACTTTTTTGACATCTATTAGTCTTTGTTCTTGACTTCTTACCGCTTTGCAAACTATTATGTAAATAATTTTTTCTTTTACTTTGTTTTGCATAATTAAGTAACAAGTTGTCAGGGTACCAGCATAACTGGGTAAGTCTAAATTTCCTTTTTCATTTCATTTAATTTATGTTCAAGTTATTATGAATGAGAGTAGGAATTTCAGCGTGGTGTCACTCAATTTATGTAAGGTCAGGATGCAGCTTGTATTTTAAATAAACCTTACAAATTGATTTTGTGGAGAGAATTCTTATTTGAACACCTGCTTTTACAATTTAGTCCTTTTTTCTTCTTGGTTGTAGTGATCCAAAAGGAACTAATCATTCGGTGGCTTTGTCTCCTAGGCATGGTTGCAGAGGAATACAATGCCTTTTTTTATTCTCTTGTATCCCAAGACACTCAGGAAATGGCATATTCAACAAAGCGACAACGGTTTCTCGTAGATCAAGGCTATAGCTTCAAGGTAATTTGTCCCTTCTAATTGTTAAACTGTGGCCTAAGAATATAACTTTAATTCTTTCATTTTATGGCTAGGTTGGATACTTGAGAACTGTGATTGTGAAATGTATTAACAAAGGCTTTGCTTGCAGGCAAAAAATTTTCCAGCATTATTCTGTTAACTGTGTTACTGTGAAGGTAGATACAAGTAGTTCAATACAGCTCTTGGGAAGGTAAGTATTCTATAAGGGCAGATCTGAAAGTAATGCTTCCTATTTTATTATGTTGGTCCACAGCATCAGAGGTGGATGTTGGTAGTATGGCAGTAAAGGCTGAATCTTCCCACCAGTATTCCATTACATGCTGTTGTTATGCGACAGATGGCAGCAGAGGGGCAGTCTGATGAAATGGTGACGTGGAAGTGCATATGAAGCAAAGGTGTGGTATTGAATTCCTATATGCAGAAAAAATGGCACCCATTGATGTTCACTGAAGCTCGCTGAACACTTACGGAGACTAAACAGTAGAAGTGAGCACAATGAACTGGTGCATTTCAGCAGTGGTGACAGTGACGTGAAAGATAAATGATATTCCAGATGGCCATGCACAGCAATCACACCACAAATTGCACAAGGTGAAAGCAAGCAGCCTCTACTGGACTGCACTTGAACCTAGCTGTTGAAGATCATCCCAAAAGATGCATTTTGGGACATCTCTGAGGGTAAAACCTGCATGAACTGCAGGTACTCTGAATTAAACTGCTTTGTTATCAGCATCCCTGTTAAAGAGGAGGTCTCTGCATGAAAACAGACATGCCATAGGCTTTACATGTAAAAGCCTTGCTTTGCTTTGTAGTGAATGTATCTTCACAAAATTGTAAGTCAGTCAGCTGAAGGTAATTACAACAAATGAGTCTATGTGGCTATAGCCAAGAAGATTCAAGAAATCCCTCTGCTTTTATTTGAATATAAATCTTGGATTATAGAACTAAGTAAGAGGTTAAAATAGGGGGGGGGGGGGGTTATTTTGCAAGGAAGACCTTGTCCTAGGAGTTTGGACTTCATGGGAACAAAAATGCAAATGGCAGCTGAATTTCTGGAGTAAAATTTTAGCTGACCAGTACTTGAATGTTCTTTATTTGAAGATTAGTAGCAAAAGGTTAGAATATCTGTTTTCTTCTGTTTGCTGAACTTTAAGCTTTAGTCATAGCTGGCATTGAACAATAATAGGGTTGGAAGAAACTTGAAGAAACCATCTAATGTTTCTTCATTACAAGCCAGAATCAACTGTGTATGTCATTCCCAGCAGATGTTTGCCTTCATGATTCTACTTCATCTTTAGGCAATTATTTCAGTGCTGATATCTTTCCCTTTGGAATTTTTATTCCCGATGCCTAACATTACTAAATATTTGGTACTCTGTTAAAAAGGAAGCAGTATGCATTTTTCTTCTAGGACTTTCTTCTTTTTATCTGTCAGTAGCTCATTTCTCTGCTTTCCAGCAAAATGGGAATTAGAATAATTGTTTCCTACATCACACATTTTGTCTTTGCTTCTTTTATACATACAGCCTTGTCATCACTATTTGCTGCTTGGAGTCTTAACTATTTAGAAGTTTGGTTAGCTAACCAAAGTTTAGTTACCATACTGTATTGGTTTTTTTTGAGGTTGAATGCAGGGTATATTGATTTTTAAATCAACAGCAGAAGAACTTATTGTATCAAATAATCTAATTACTTTAAACTTGGCATCTGTTCAACAGCTTAAAAATATTGTGATGCAGTGGAAATCATTTCTGTTTTATGAAATATTCTAGCACTGTTTTGCAACAACTGTAAACATGTTAATGCAGTTCTTCCTGTGGTTCCTTTTTGTTTTTGAGGTGATCATAGCATGTGCACTTTGTAAACAACAAGAGGAATTGTAGAGTTCATTTGTTTGTATAATAGGACAGGTTGCTTCCCTGAATAGATCCTTAAAACTACATATTTCTCAGAGAAATGCATTTTTTCAATTTAGAAATTGCCACTGACAACAGTGACGCCGCTGACATTTTGTTGCAGGTTGTTGTGCAGTCTCTCAACAGCTAATTGTGAATGTTCCTAAATGTGTATGTTAAAATTCTTGGCGTCAGGAAAGCTAATTGATTACTGTTATGAAATACGAAGTCCTTTAGTACAAAGTATATTCATGCAATATAAAGTACTAGTTCTTAAACTGGACGAAATCTGAAGCTATAGCATGAAATCAGCCTTCCAGTAAGGTTCCTGGTCAAGCTGGCATGGAATGAGCATTTGGTATACGTTCTCTGTTTAGAGCTAATGCATTTCCAGCCAGAATATAACAGGAGATTGTGAGGTGGGGGATGCATTTGCACACGCACCATAACTAATAACAGTTCAAAAATCCCTGCCTTGTATTGTGCTCTGTTTCTTAGGTAATAACAAAGCTTGCAGGCATGGAAGAAGAAGAACTTTCATTTTCATCCAAAGAAGAACAGCAGCAACTTCTTCAGAAAGTCCTACAAGCATCTGACCTAGATGCTGAGGAGGAGGTAGTTGCTGGAGAATATGGTTCAAAGTCAGTTCAGGTAATGAAAAATAGTTTGCAAAGGATGACCACAAATGCAGTAGAATAGGACTGTTCCATTTTGATTCTGAATGTGAATGCCACTACTGATGCATTAGTGTCTTTGTAAAATACTGGAACACTTCTTTTTAAGCTGCATTAGCACTTGGCTAATTAATTCACTAATTTCCTCATGCCCAAAGGGCAGAAATTAAGAGGCCACTTTACATAAGGGTGAGTGGTAGGCAGTTACTTTCTTAGTAGCAGTTCCCCTGTAAGAAAAATAAAAACCAACTTTGAGGGCTTTTTGGTCTGAAGGTCTGTAGATGAGAGCTGATCTATCTAATCACACACTCCAACCATGTTTTTTCTCTCCGTTCTTACAGATGGCACGTCGTACAGGCACAATGAGCTCTATGTCAGGAGCAGATGATGCGGTTTATATGGAATATCAGTCATCTCGGAGTAAGGCATCTTCAAATAAGCACATCCACCCACTATTTAAGCGCTTCCGGAAATGATGTCCTTCATGCGTGCATGCTATAAGAACTGTGCATCCATGTACTTCTTTCCATAACTAAAAATATGGATTTGAAATTTCTGGCAGGTCCTCTAAAAGACATCTTTGCGTGCATCTATATAGCCACGTTTTTGCTTAGCAACATTTATGTTCTCGTGATTAAATGTGAAAGAAGGAACTAAATCTCATCATGGAGATGTATATTATCCAGTGACTGGATCCTGGTTATACCTGTCTGGTTTTCAGTGTGATGAACAGATTTTATTTTTGTCGGCTGAAGACACTTTTTCAGGTGAATTCTGAAAAGGTTTTGTATATAAAGTTTGTACTGATGTTAGAAATATTATTTATCTGATTACTGTCTACTTAGCAAAACACTGTTTAAGTTGCTTAAATGAAAGTTATAAATTGAGTCCTGATAGGAGCACTTTACATAATGTTTTTAAATTAGGACCTAGTTGATAATCATGACTTAAATTGTTTTAAAATCCTAACAAATTGGTTGAAATATTGTGAAATTCTAAGATGAAGAGAAAGAAGGGCTCTGTCTGCAAAGTAAATTTGAGGAAAGCGTTAGTAAGTACAAATAAACTCTGTGCTCCATTTCCTTTATTTTTGTTGCTACTGTTGAGAAGTTTCTGAAATAAAAGCTATTTCCCTTGTTATTTATGTTCTGTTTATTAGTTACATAATAAAACCATAACTGCTAAACAGTGCAGTGTCACTATAAACGTTACTGTTGGATCAAAGAGTGTTTTGTCTTGCCAGAAGGTGACTAGGAGGCAGATGCATGAAGGAGAAATTCCTGGGGCTTTTTTCGTAATGAAGTAAATACAGTAACTTTCTAGAAGATCTGTGGAGAGGTAGGAGAAGCTTCTGGTAAAGAGCACTCTTAAAAAAACAACCAAACAAACAGAAAACCTTCAATTTAATACTGTAACAATTAGTTACACTATTTGTATTGTGGATTTTCTTCTTCACCTTGCTTGAGAGTTTATAAGAGTTCTAGGAACAACCTGTCAAATAGCATTTATCTTGATCTGTTGTTTCAAAATGGATTACTGTAAAAAATTACTGGAAGGAGTACATATGATAAAGCTATCCAAGATACGTGACAGATGTGTTTCAAAAACAAATTGATTCTGTTTAGTATGAATCCACAAATGGAGAATATTTCTTGCAATACTGTAGGCTTAGAACACACAGCACTTGTTTTCGGTTTCTAGATCAGAAATAGTTTTGAAAATGAAATTGGTCTGATTCAGTTGAGGCTTTTGTTCTGTCCTCTGAGATATACCACATAATGCCTGGTTCTTTCTCTTTCTTGTTCTAGGTTTTTTGCCTCACAAGTTGGGACTATTCACAACAGTACCTGAGCATCTTATAGGCAAAAGATCAATGGACAGTGTTTTAGTACTGATTTCCACTCCCCAGTTTTAAAGCATGATTTCCTTTGAATAATTCAGACAGGCTCTCATAGCAACAGTTAATGGAAAGAGTCTGGCAGTGGGACAGATGAGAAAGTAAGCCAGTAGCCCTCTGCATAATTTTCTGTACCACGCTTTATGAACAACTTTGGAACTCTTCTCCTTTCATCATAAACTTCGGGGAGGGAGAGAACGGGAGAAAAACTGCTATGTTTGGAATTGGCTTAATAGCAATATTTGTTTTTGTAACTGTTGCATTAGTAGTACTTGAAGTTAGAACAGTGATGCAGTATTCTGCAAATCTTGGCTATGATGTCCAATGATCTTACTCTAAATAATGGACTATGTGGGATGCAGTACTTCCAGCATTAAGCAAAGAAAAATAATTGTAAGAGGTAAGAGTCCATGTTCCAGTACTAATGTGTTGGTGTTCACAGTTCAGATGCAATAATTTGATAGAATTGCTGCAGTAGTTACTCCATACAGACAATTGTGGCTGCAAGTGGCAAACAGATGTGCAGTTGCTCAGTACAAAACAGTTTCTGTCCTGTATCTGCGCTGTAATATATCCACTCAATTCTGCTTTCCAGACAGGAATCTATTGCTGAGAGAAAACTACTTGTTTCTCACTAGCTGCACGGGCTAGCAGTTCTCTAAGGCATGACTCCAAATGCAGTGGACACAATATACTGCTCCAGAATTAGTCTGCAATCCCAGTTCTGTAGGAAACGAAGCTATCTTGTTCAACTACAAAACTCACCACTGAATTTTGTCACACAGGTATCTGTTTGAAGCAGTATGATAGATTGCAAGCATGATGCTTCACAGTAACTGCATGGTACCTGTGGTAGGCTCTCACTGCCCCGTGGCCCAAGAATCTGGGCCCTAACTCTCTAAAGTTGCAGTCAGCGGGACAAAATAACATGAATTTGTATAGCAAAACTGTTTTCAGACTGAGTGGTGACAGAAGCAGGTGAAATTTGGGGTAAGTATGCTGCTTCTTGGAAGTCAGTGAATAGATATGCAATTTCCTTGGACGTAATTCAGGTCACTCTGTTGCTGGTCGCCTCCTTAGCTAGGCTGAATTCCTTACAGAGAAAACTTCCACTTTCTAGCTTCTTCATGGAATTGTCATTCTTTTTTATAGTTCTTTGTGGTTTTGACAGTCTACAATACTGAAATTCATGTTTGTGCTCTTTATCCCCATGGCAAGTCAGCAACTGTCTGTGAAAGGATTAATGCTTGAAGAGTACTGCCATTCATTAAAACGACTTTCAAGACTATAAGGGCACATTGACATTGGTGTTACACTTTCTAATAGCATTTCAGCTCTGCAAAGCACTGAAATAGATGCAGTTTCTATTTCTCTGTGGTTTCCTGTGCCCTTGCGATGCTCACAGTTTTAAGTGGAAGCTTTCTACAATGTGTTTAAGAACTTACAAATGGGAACTGAAGGCAACTATACTTCTCAGGTATACCATTAGACAGAATAAGCATCTATACCTGCTACAAGAAATCTGTAAGTAGAGCTGAATCATTTATTGCAGTTGATTTATGATTTTCTGCTTAAGCATTAAACAGTAAATAATGCACAGCACTGTCAGGTGCTGGGATGGGCTAGTTTGCTTGGACTTGTGAGTTCTTTTATACAATATTTGATTAAGACTTTAAAATAGAGTATGGTAGATGAAATCAAAGACTAGGAAGTAGTCTTCATTCTTCTGAACTGAAGCTGCTTCATGAGTAAGTTACCTGTAAGCTCTGTTATCACCTCACGCTCTGTTAAATTCCAATTTGTCTTTTTTCAGGAAGAAGAATGAGAATTTGGAAAGTGTTTAAAATTCCAATGAGGTGATTTCACAACTTGAAAAGATCTTTCAAAATATGCATTTAAGAGCAGTCAGAAGAAGCAAAACCCATGACTAATGGCATGGCTTTTTCAGTGAAAAGATATTTTTCAAATTACACTGAAATTTTTTTGCTGAAACTTCTGACATTTCAATGCTTCAACTATTCTTCCTTTTGAAATTTCTGAAGAGCCTGTCTTTATAGTGTTAGTTGAAGGTGTTTCTTGGGCCAAGTTCAATGCCTCCCATCAAATGCCTTTTGCTTTCATAAAAGCGTTTAGATGCATTAGCTATTTGAACACATTGATGTTTTATACATAGTACAATATTTATGATACTATTCAAATAATTACAAGCCAGATATAGCCAAGGCTATTGAAAAATGAAAATAATTCTGAGAAAATAAAATTCCTGCTAAGATGATAATGTAACCACTGACTGCATAGCAAAGCTATTAGGACACAAAGAAAGCTTCAGATGAACTTTGTCAGAGTTCATGCAAAGAGGAGGGCAAGTTTAAATTGGATTTAGAAATAACTTAGTGAAGGTAACAAAGCACAGTTAATATGACCCCACTAGGGGGTCTAGACTGAGAGAACAGGATGATTGTGGATTTCCAGGCAAGCTATCCTCCAATAATAATACGCAATCTTAAGTTGTCAATAGTCAAGTTTAGTTTATACTGTGATCCTGTTACATACCAAAAATTAACTAAAATTGAAACACTTCTACTGTGAAAGAGGCATGTGCTCCAACTTGTTTGAAATAATAAATGTCCAAACTGACTGGTTACATAAAACAATTTTTCAAAATCAGCAGACTGACAGACTAGCACAATGTCATCGTTTAAATTTAAAGAACTGTATATTCAAGTTTCTGTTAAGTCTGAATACATGTTCTGCAAGATTGTGGAAGTAGGAGAAAATGTTTATCTTCCAAGTCACATAAATGTGTTTTGGTTGGCTAGAGCTGACAGCATAACTTCTCCTTTACGGTTCAGTGGGCTTACATGGATTGGAACAAACAAGTCTTATGTTACAGCTGCTACATTCACCATTTTTCGTGGGAATTCCTTGTTTCTTTGACACTACTAGACTTCTGTTACCTGAAACAAGTCTGTGATTGTATTTCTAAGGAAAAGGGAACCAGACAATACACATCCTTCCACAAGCCTAGCTTTTACCCTAGATTATGTGAAATCTGCTGCTGCTCACTCAAGTGTAGGTAAGTTTCATTCTTTCTCTTTTTCTGATCTACTCTAGGAGACTTATTTCAGCTTTGTCTGTCTCTTGGAGCAAAAACTGGGTTTTATTGATAATGTTGATTATTTAACATGCTGTAGTTGGTCAGTCAGACCTCCATCTTGGATTCTGCTGTAGTAAGGATACCAAGTGTGGTGGTAAAGCAGCAAACAGTGATGCATACATTAATAACTCTTATTTGAAAGTCAAACAGAACCACGCAATTATTATCTGGCACAACAAAGAGAAGAAAATAGTTTTTACATATTCAGTGCTGTAGCCCACACAATTGTTCACATTCATAAGTATTCCATTCCTGGTTTTCACTGTTTAACCATGGAATAATTCGGCTATTATAATTCCAAGTATTATTTTTCAGTAGTTTAGCTAGAAAAACAAAACTGCATCTGCATTGATAGATTACTATATTATTATTGATAATAATTGATGACCAGGGGAGGTTCAGGTTGAATATCAGGAACAGGTTCTTCACTGACAAGCGTGGGCAGACATGGTGCCATGACCACTTCCAAGCTTACTGGAGCTCAAGAAGCATCCTAACAATGCTGTCAGACATATGGTCTGATTTTTTGGTTGGTCCTGTGGAGCCAGGAGTTGGACTCAGTGGTCCTTAAGTGTCCCTTTGAACTCGGGATATTCTATGGTTACTGTACAATGTTATTGTATAATAGCATTATTGTAAAAGTCTATCTGAACTTGTATCTACTTGCAGCTCTTCATTTCTACTCCATTTAACAAACTTCCTAGAAACATCTATCATTTTCCAAATATAATATTATAACTTTTTTTTTTTTATTATTATAAATTAGTTTGTGAGCCTTCTGTATCTGTTATTACAAGCTACAGTATGCAGGCCTCTTAGGCTTACTGGTACTAGGTTTTTGCTGACACAAGACTTTAAAGCTACTGGCTACCTTGTGCACTGAGTAAAAATTATATTACTGTGGATGTCAGTCAACTTGTGCCTGAAAGGAGCCCATTTTACAGATACGTGGAACTGCATTATTAATTCTCCTTTAAATTTCTCTTCTGTTATAACCAAGAAAATTGACATTTTCGTCATCATTGCTGTTTTGTGTTTTCTTCATTAATTTGCCTTACATTCAACCATTGCCTATAAGCAGATTATTCAGTATTTTTATTTGGGGAGAAATGGGTTAAGATGTTATTTGTTAATTCCTAATCATTAAAAATACAAGACAGTAAGCAGATGTGGAGGTGTCCCACAGGAATGTCTTAGGTCTCTTTTTTCAAATACCACATTTGTTCTGCCTTTTCTTTAAAAGCTGACAACATTACTCAAAAATAATCAAATTCATTGACATTTCCCTGCATTTTTTTTACATTAATATGTGTGCATGTGAATAATGGGAGAACCTTTCTTAGACTTGCTCATGTTGAGCACGATCTTTAAAAAAATGATTAAAGAGTCTATCCAGGTAGCAGAGATACATAGGTGTTTGTTTTTCGTTTCCTAACACTAGATTTATTATGATAAACTTGATAGTAGGCAGTCACAGAATGATTGAATGATATTATAATATATGTGTATGATATTATATTATTCTTATATATTGTATGCAAGTTCTATGGTTTAGTCTCCCTTGAAGTGAATAGAACTGATATGGAATGATCAGTGTTCCCTTCAGCTCTGCTGTTACTGAAATTACATTTTCTCTGTTTACGTATTTCAAATACAATGTGTTTTGGACTTTTTTTTTCCAAACACGCAACAAGAGAAATTAAATATGAGTATGAACGAAACTGCTTAGATGTGTGAGTGAAAGTGTGGATTTACAACATAGTTCCAATGTAGGGACACCTCTAGAAACTCCTCTGAGAAAAAAATAGGTACTGTTCTGGTGAACTTCTTAGAGGACAAAACTTCTGAAACCCTCTTTCAAGTAGACTGGCTACAAAAACTCTCTTATAATTAATTTTGTGAAGAAGAGGTAATTCATTGTGAAGTAAAGTGTAGGGGGGAGGGAACTGAATGCCCAAATATGGAATTAACTACAAAAACGTACAAGCAGAGAGAGCTAGTGCCAGTTACAAGATTGAAGCCCAACAGTATGTAATATATCTGAGTTTACGAATATATATAGATATATTATTATTATCTGAGATATATATGTATATATATATCTGAGAATACGAATAGAAGTAGATGCTTTATGTGATACTAATGGTGTGAGATTGATATAAAATACTTGCCATATTAATAGATGTGAGAAGCAGTTTCAGGAGGAGCATTTATTCTCTCGATCGATCTAGAGATTAGAACATGAAAATCAGTTTTTAAAGCTGGAGAGCTACTGCATAAACTTGAAAACAAAAATCACTTCCAAGTTTCTAGTACTGACCTTAATTTATTTTTAAAATTCTGTTGTAACCTTTAATATGTATAGCTATGGAGTTTTACCAGTGTTCCTGGCAAAGTGAATTCATGCTGTTTTCATTTTATTTGTTGACTTACCATCTGGGGATATCATCAGTTATTCAATAGCTTTAAATATTTTGGATATTGTTCTTAGAATATGGCCAATGTAATCTAGGTGATTTAGTTTGGTGTGTCCTTTCCATTCTGTAGGACTACTGTCTATCTTCCTGTTCTTTTTAACTCCTCCTACAGCTATCTCTTAGTGTATCTACTATTTGCTGTAAGAGGTATTCCCTGTTATTTGTTTTGTTTTTTTCTCCTCCACTGTCCCTAAGCAAGACACAGAATTACCTTTCAGTAGTACAAGTCAAACAAGTTTATCATCACATCTACATGTTTTTTTTTTAATTATTTTTTTTCCCAGAACCATTTATTTTATAAGTAATTGTGTCTCCCAAACCATCTTTAGGCAAACGTTAAAGAAATAACATAGCTACACCAGGCAGAAACATAGACAGTAAAGGGAAACTACTAAGGTAATCTAGAATGTGAGACACCCAGACTGTGCCCAACAGATGTTTATTAAGTCTGCTCTTACAAAGTTAGTGAGAGCAATTACATAACCTCATGAGGTAGCTTGGCAGTCTGAAATGTGTGAGAGAACCCAGAGATATCTGAGGTAGCAAGGCTATCTGAAAATCTATCCAAGACACTTGTAGCTGCAAACTAAGCCTATTATTTCTTCTGATATGCATCTGAACAAAAGATGTATACATCTGTATGTTGTTGTCGTGCTTCTGGCAGTCATCTTTACCACATGAAAAAACTCCACCACCTCTATTTATCATTTTTAAAAGCTTCTAATTTTTTATGTTGATTTTCTCTGAACTTTTTAAATATAATGAAGCCTATTTTAAAGACACTAATTTAGCTTAAACAAGTGCATACTTAATAGATGCTATTTATCCTGTGCATTTTATTTCTGAAATCCTTAATGCTCTGCTTACAAAGGTTGATGTCTAATGGGACATAGACTTTATTCTCAGTGATAAAATGAAGCATGTACACAAATCTTAATTTGTTTGTGCCCCCAAATATAAATGTATAAAAACATAGAGAATGTAGGGAAAACAAAGACAAATAACTTTGAAGCTCACTAAACATAGTCATGACTAAATTGCTGGTAAAGTACGTTCTAGAAATGTGGATCTTGCCTTAAACTTTCCTCTGTCCTCTGGTTTTACCAGAGCTTCTGATCCACTTGTAACTAAGCTGGGTCTTTTGCGCACCTTTTCTGAAGCTAATGAAGTTTTTACAGAATATCACTAATACTTCCATGAGCATATAGAAATGGGTATGAGGGTAGAACAAAGGACTTTAAAATTGTGTAAAACAAACTGATCTACAGGCTGGAGCTCAAGTTCTCTGTGTGTGATTACAGACCTGTACAGCTGAATTGAGGAAAAGCTGAGGTGAACGTTGCGCATGGTTGAAAGACACTGGATATTTTCTACAAAAGTTGACACAAGGTACATCATTTCACAAGCATACCCCCCTGTAATACAAATAACATCCCTGGTTATTGTAGCTTACAGGAATGTAAGTTTGCAATGTTACTGCGGAAAACCATTGCTGTTTTCTGTGGATGTAGCAATGTTTCCGTATACATGTTCTTGGATGATAAATGGTACTGAGAACTTCTCACAGAAAATACCGTTTTCCAACGTATGGGAGGAGTGGGAGAAGATAAGAAGGTGAGTTTGGGGCCTTTTTAATGAAGGAGAAAGTTGGGATAACCCACATGTGAGATTTTGCCAAAACAACTGGGGAAAGAGGAAAAAAGTAAACTTGGACTGCATGCTTAATGGGCAAACTTATCTGATTTGAATTATACGAAATAATAGGTTCGTTCTATTCAAGTCTCATCCCAGACCCACCCCCCTTTTCCAGCCCTAGGGGAGGGAGCGTTAAATAATGGTCTGTGTAAACTGATGCTCATGCAGTAAGAGTTTGGAGTAGTGCTGCTTGTACAAGTTAAAGCAGGCAGCGAAGAAAGAACAACCAAATAAAAAGCAGCTGCAGGGGGACAGGAAAAAAAAAAAAAAAAACACCACCTAAAAAACCCAAAAACAACAACAAAAAAGTGGACCTTCCTGAAATCAAGACATGTCTTTCCTGACCAGAGTTCTGACAACGAAATGCAAGCAGACACTTGAATCCGAGAGGACTTACTTCCAGCACGCGCTTTTTGTCAGCAGGTTTCACCAGGCGCCCGTGCCGTCGGGCAGTCAGTCCCTGGAGGTGCGGAGCGGCGCGGGGAACAAAGCGGCGCGGCCGGGGGAGCTGCTGGAACCCTCCCCGCAGCTGGGCAGGGTGAAGAGTTTGCACGAAATGCCCGGACCCAACACCCTCTACAATCTCTACGAGTTCTTCTGGAAGGACGGCTTCGGCCGCATTCATGAGATCCAGGTACGGCTTAGTCGGCTCTTTCGGGCTTTATTCACGCCGGATTACCGAACTTTTCCTTCTCTCCCCTCGCAAAACGTTGCCTAATCGCCGCGTTACCGCATCGCCGCGTTCCTGCTGTTATGAAAGAGCCGAGGCGAGGAGGTCCCCGTTCGGTTCCGCGTCCCTCAGCTCGGAGGTTTAGCACTTTTGTTTCGGGTTCTGCGGGCATCGCCTTCGGCAGTTCCCCTTATACGTGCGGGGCGACCGCTTCGCCGGCGCACCCAGGCTTTCGACTCCCCCCTTTCTCACGTTTACTTTTCTGGGGGGCTTTTAGGTGTGTGCCATAGGCTCTTAAAGGAAAAAGGAAACACCTCTAGAGCTGGGTTGCCTCAAAGCCTTGCGCTCCCCCCGCACGCTTGTTTTTGGCGGCGGAGCTGGGAAACGCGGCTTTTCCTCCAGCCTGGAGGCGAGGCCGTGCCGCGGCTGAGGTACCTCAGCTTGCAGGGACTTCTGCCCATCCTTCACCTCAGCCCTGCGGCGTCACCCCGTTGTGCCCAGAGACCATTTTTCCTCCCCGCCCCTCGCTTCTACCCTGGCCTCTCCTTACGTAAATATACTTCGGCTATACAGGTCCCCTGAGGGGGCGGTGGATGCGCCTGGCTCCCAGCAGCTGCGGAGGGGCCGCCCGCAGGGCCCTCCCCTCAGCGGGAGGCGGGCGGTTTGAAACCTTCCCCCGGAGGGGCCGTGGAGGGGGGACCAACGGTCGCGGTTCGCGCTGCCCAACCCCTGCCCGCGCCCCCTCCTCTGGCGCGCGCGGGCGGGGAGGCGGGAAGCGGGGCGTGATGGCGGCGGAGCTGCCTGAGGGAGGGAGGCAGAGAGACACCGAGATTCCCTCGGGTCCTCCTCAGAGAGCGGGGCCGCTGTCACCCGGCGTGCGGGTGGGACCTCTTGGTTTGGCACTTCGTGAGGGGGCAGCGTGGGCTGGGTGTGCGAGTGCCCTTAATCCGGCTTTGGAAGCCAGCAGGAGTAGAGCTTAAAGAACCTGGAAACCAGGATCTTGAAAGGAGATGGAAATAAAGGAGGTTGGGGAACAAAAAGTCAAACACGTTCCTTAGTTTTGACTGTGGTGTGTTTATCCCTTGGAGCTCTGAAAAGAAGTGTCAGTCTGACCTGTGATCTGAGCTGTTGGTGATTTAATTGCTTAATTACTTAATAACAGCTATGTGCAGGTGAAACTTAATTGTATTTGCTAAAGGTTTTTTTGTTATACCGCGTTTCTTATTTTCACTGCTGCTGTGGTAGTGCCCAGTTTGTGAGGCACTCTCCATATGCCCTAACACCAAAAAAATACCTTGCATGTTGAATTCAAGATTTCACTGTTGAAAGTTGAAACATTGAAAAGCATCAAAGTATGGGAATGGATATAAAAATAGGTGAATAGTGTATGCTCTGAACTAGAAAACCTCTTCGCTGAATGTTATTCACAGAGGGGAAAGCAGGAGGAAGGATGAGGAGGAGCTGTAAAGCGATGCTGGTTTTTATCCTGCATAGTCTCAGAAATCACTTTGCAAATCACAGATGGCCTGTTTGCATACATGCTGCATGCAAGCAGGCATTAGCCGGCTTAATAACAGTCTGTTAAATTTAACAATACAGTGAACATCAGGAATGAATTAATTTGAAACCCTTTGGTAACCAGCAGAGCTACTTAAGCAGTGTCCTTTGGTGTGCAGCAATGCTCATAGGCTATATGCAGGAGGGGTGGGGAAAGCTGGGCTTTTCACAAAGGAGGTTCTGTTCTCTGTAACATGATTCCAGTTAGTCCTGGCCAAAGCAGCAATGCTTACAGCAATTATGATAAAGGGAATGTATTCCTAATTTGACAGGATCAGATCTTGTGTCTCATCAGTACTACTTGAGTATAAAGGAAATAAAGGAGAGGGGAAAGGGTTTGGATGCTTACGGAATTTATGATGTGTGGAATTTAGAATGTATGGTGTGAGAGTGGTATGTGAGTCATTAAACTGCAATATTTTTAAGGTCTGGAATGAGGGAAAGAAAACCTGTGTTGTGATAGAAAATATGGAAGAGAAATTCCAGGCATTTCTTTAAACATCAGGTTAATACTGAGCACCATTCTGCTGAAAGCAAGAGAAGGCCAAACACCTTGTCCTTGTCCATTTCTGTTTTGAGAACTGATATTTCATTTATTTGATTGAATGGCTTGATACTCAATTTGTTTTCTGTTCAAGTTCAATCACCTATGTCACCCTCATAATCAGTGGAAATACAAGACAGTTCTATTACCAAGTTTGATGAGCTTGACATTCTGAGATCAGTATCCTCTTCTGTATTCCCCTCATGCCACTGCCTTTTCCTTGCACCATTTGTGTCACAACATGCCTACCTTAAAGACTTGTGGTCTCAGTTCTCTCCATGCTCAGCTTCAATATCCCTTGAAATTCCTCTGGGGCAAGAGCTGCTTTGGCTTTTGGGAGTGCTTGTTATTTATATGTTGGTCTGCATGTATGTTTGGTTAACAGGAGACCAAGCAGAACTGGTCTTCGTTGAGTTCCTGCTGCAGCACTTCCTTTGTCAGAATGGCAAACGTGTGTGTCTTGTTTGAATCAAGATGCTGATCTTTGAAAATGGGAAGAATATAGTTGTAGGAGATTTAAATGCCTGTTTAAACTTGACTGAAATTGGCCAATGTGTTTCAAAAGTAGTTAAGTGAAGACTGGCAGAGACCACAATTGCACAACTCTTGTTTTGTTTGGAAAGTAGGCAAAAAGAACTACATTTTTATAGGCGCTTGGTATCATATGGTAGAAAGTGATTCATGTGTCTTAAATTTACTTGTGGTAATTGAACATTTCATCTCTCTGAGCAATACTGATTAAAACATCTCATAAATTAATCTTGGTCAACATTGGATTTTCACTAGCTTAATTGTACTGAACTTATTTGATTTATAAACAAAGTAACTCTGCAACCAGATGTCTTTACATTAGATGAAAGTAATGTGTCAAACTTTCGGCAGTTTAACTTATTTTGCTGCTTCAAACAGAAATAAAATCTTTAAGATCTTAAACAGTCTTAAATTTAAGTCCTTGTATGGTTTTGACTGTTACTTTGCAGACTTTTTTTCCCTAGAATGATGTTGAACGTCTGTTCCAAACGAGTTCCAGGGAGTTGTGTTTCATTTCACAACATCAGAATTAAATTTGATGAACATGATCAGTAAATTTCCTCAGATAGTGATGCATCACTTAATGTTTAATGGCCTGTTGCTCGCCTCCAGCTTGAATCATACAACTCATGAATCAACCACTAAACAAATCTCTCTACTGGAATAATGCTTCAACTTTTTCTTCCTTTTTCAGAATTAATCTATGCCATCAATTTGCTGCTCATGAATGTGTCCCAAAATGTAGTTTTTTTTTGTTGTTGTTTTTTTTTTTTTATTGGGCTGTTACATTGTCACTGTCCTAGTTTAGATGGAAGGAAGTATAAGTGTTTCTTTGTAAACTGCTTCAGTATGTACATTAAAGGCATTCAAAGTGAATTATGGTATCTCTCTTTTATACTTTCAAATTCACATACTGCCCTTTTTTTTCTTTTTTTTTTTTTCTTCTTTTTCCCCAGATATTCTAGTGTATTTGATCTGAAGATGAATATGTTTTTAAATGCCCTATGTCCTTCCATCTTTTCAATAGTTTACTGCACCAATGATTTTGTGCCTTAGAGCTGTATTTTCAGTCAGTGTGACCCTATATTTTCCTTATGGATTTTTCCCAGTAATACTTCGATGCTTTCTTGTGATATTTCAAACCGTTCCATGACTAAAAAGCTAGGAGTCAAGACCTAGGTGTGATAAGTTGAGTCACTTTGTGACAAATTGTCAGCTTCCTTCTCAGTTTCCTTAGTAATATTTTACTTCTGTTTCTCTTTGTTGGTGACGTTGTAGCAAAAACACACTCAGGAATATGGAAAGATCTTCAAGTCTCACTTTGGTCCCCAGTTTGTTGTATCCATTGCAGATCGAGATATGGTTGCTCAAGTGCTCCGGTCAGAAGGTAGAGCACCACAGAGAGCTAACATGGAATCATGGCAAGAATACAGAGACTTACGAGGAAGAGCTACAGGACTAATTTCAGCGTAAGTTCTGTTATGCCTTCATTTTCTAAGTTTTGTTGTAAAAATTGAATCATTTTTCTGAAGGACTGTACAGGTCATTTGAGAATTCAGGCTTTTCTGTAGGCATCCATGTGGTTAGCAGGAGGAAGAGGGAATTAATTTTTAGTGACTTCTCCATTGTGCTGTAAATTTTCAGAAAGTTGATCATGATGCGTAGTTTGACAGTGGAATGAGCTACCTTGTGTAATAACATTTGTAGGTATTGGTTATCTGGACACAGTATATAGGAGCAGGGCACACCTGCTTTGGCATAGCACTGCACAAACATGATTTTACTGCTTCAAATCCAAATGACTGTATCCAGTTGGTAGCGTGTTGTGTGGATGCTGGTTTGGGCTCACTTTATTGTTCACCAAAGTTCTCTCTTGTTGGATTAAAGCAGAGAAGTCACTGATTGTAAATCCATACTGGAGTGCATCCCTATGCAGATATACGTTTGTATGTAGCTGAATTGTAGAAAAGATATCCATCCTTAAAGCTTTAATAAACTGACAGTGAATGTGTGGGTGTGTGGTTAACTGCCACTGGGGGCTGCCCACAGTCAGCACTGAGATAGCTTGTTTATTTAGGAGAAAACTGTTTTCCTGAGCCATGGCCAGTCTATTTCTTCCATGGTGACAAAAGGCAATATGTATTGCACTGCAGAGTCAAGCCAGCAGTTCCTTCATATTTTGTGTAAGAAGAGCTTAAATTGAGATATTCAGAAAGTGTCTCCAAAGAGACAGTAAAGAGGTTCAAATTTGCTGCTGGCCAGTAAGCTTCTGTACCTTACAGCAGCATTTCTCAAGGTGAGAGGATTTCTTGGGAATACACTGCAATTCAAAATAATTGTCATTAAAGATAATTGCCTGTCTTCAGAAGGAATTGAAAGATATCCCTGCAATCACTGTTCCCAGTCACTCTGCTTATATCAAGCATGCAGATGTTACAATTCAGAATTCAAAAAGATTTCAATACATACCTCAGCTAAAGGAAAGTTTGCAAATATGCAGTAACTATGAAATAAAAATGTAGGCATGAAATACTGAGTATGTTATACCTCCATTGTTTTCATTTCACTACTTGATTTTTCTTCTCAAAAACATAAATGATCATCATGACAGAGCTTTTACTGAGCTAGTGTTGTTAAGAATCATTTTGTATAGACATTATTAATTTATTTTTTTTTTCTAGAGAGGGGGAACAGTGGCTAAAAATGAGAAGCGTACTGAGGCAAAAAATTCTGAAACCCAAAGACGTGGCGATTTACTCTGGAGGAGTCAATGAAGTTATCACAGATTTAATTAAAAGAATCTACACCCTCAGAAGTCAAGAGGAAGATGGGGAAACAGTGACCAATGTTAATAATCTTTTCTTCAAGTACTCAATGGAAGGTAAGTCTTGGCTGTGTAACACCCATAAGGAAGAGTTAATACAAAGCAACGTGGTTGTGTTTAGCTATTTTTGTCATAAATTATCTTATTGTGGTTAATCTGAAATGGGAACTGTGATATTTTGTGTCCATATGCAACTCTCACAGCTTAAGGGAATGGATATTGGTAGAATTGTTTTGTACAATCCAAAGAGATACTTTGTGTTAAGTAACATTTACTGTGGAAATGCTCATATATAGGCAGAATGTGCAGTCCAGGCCCCGACTGCTTTCCAGTATTCCTTGTTTCTATCTATATCTCAAGAACAAGAGTGTAAACCTTCTATCAGTTTGATTCCAAGACATGTCAATTTAATACACCACTGGCCAAATTACAGATGGGCAATCATGGTGTGATCTATCTAAATTCTTTTAATTGTATACTGGGAGAAAAAACTGTTTTTCCCTGCCTACAATGCACCAAGTGTGAGATTGTTATGTTTGCCTTAGAATAACCTGTCACTTGCAAGCAATAGCGAGATGATGTTGTGCTAAGTTGATCTTCAGCCCTCACTAGTATGGGATTCTGCGTGTTCTTTCAGAGATCTAATGGTGAGATGGGTTTCACACATTCCTTTAACTGACTTCATGCAATCTGATCTTGTTATATGTTTAAAAAAACACAGGCACTCTTTGCAGACATGCAGCTGAAGAGCTTGAGTTTTGCAAAAACTTTCAAATTGCTCAAGATGCTGCATCAAATAGCTGTCTGTTTGGCAAAAATAATTGAAATCTGTTCTACATCAGTAATGTCTAAAAATGGTATTCAACTAAGTTACAAATTTTATGGGATTTTAAACTCTGAGCTTAAAGATTCTCTTCTTGTAGGTTAAAGTTCCTCACGTTCTTTTAGCTTTTCATTTGTTATGTGCCTGACACACATTTTTTCTTTCTTATATCAACTGCATTTTTGACTTAACTCACTGTCAATTGTTCAGGGAACCCAATAAGTCAGATTAAAAAAAAAAAAAAAGGCTATCTAAACAATAAAAGAATGCATATGAACTGGCAATTGCTAAAAGGTGCCTGGGAGAAATAAAATATGTATGAAAATGTCTCCAGAGGGAGGAAAGTTAGGGAAGGAAGAGTATGTGATTCCAGCAATTATTTTTGTCAGAAAAGAAGAAATATGAAGAAAACAAACAAAAAACAAACAAAACAGAAACAAACAAAAAACAAACAAACAAACAAAAAAGCAAAACCAGAAGTAAATGGAAATTGCTGAAAATTTCTGTATCTCCCTGTATATTCTTCAGGATTCATGGGATCTTTGATGGAGGGCAGGACGGAAGTTAAGCATCATATTTATTGTACCCATTATTAATAGTAAAGATGGGGGGTGAAAAAGAGATTTTCAATGGCAATCACTACAATAGTGCAAAAAATCACGTGAGAAAATCATAGTAAGTTATGAACAGGAATCTGTATTGTCATTTGCAGTACTGTCTGATAGCTACTGTTTTTCAGGGCCAAGTGGAATATATTTATGTGGTGTGCAGTGAAATCACTGTAGTGTACTGTATGCTCATTATCTGTTCATGTGTACTAATTATCCATTTACTACTGGCTTATCAGGATCATGAAAGGCACTACTAGAAAATCCTGAATGATCACCGGTTACCAGAAATATCTTGGACTTATATCTCCTTATGTGTTCAGAGGAGAGCCTATCAGGCTTAGAATTTGTGGTACAGTGGGAAAAAACAGCAAACATGCTGGAGGGCTGCTCTGCTTCTCTTGTAATTCCTGAATATTTTCTCATGCTAAATGTTATTGCAGAAAGACAGTGGCTATTGTGTCAATATCTAACTGGGATTTTTTTTTTATATTTTAATGTTTTTATTTACTTACAGCTGCAGTGAGAGTAACTACAAGTTTTTTGAAGGTAGTTCCATTGTGTTAGAATTCAAATTCCTCAACTTATTAATATGTGTATATGCAAGTGAATAGCAAATTCTTTGATCTCATGTGTGCAGGTGTGGCTACTATTCTGTATGAATGCAGGTTGGGCTGCCTGGAAAACAACGTCCCACAACAGACTGTTGAATATATCGAGGCTCTGGAGTTGATGTTCAGTATGTTTAAGACCACAATGTATGCAGGTGCCATTCCCAGATGGCTTCGTCCATTTATTCCAAAACCCTGGAGAGAGTTCTGCAGATCCTGGGATGGACTCTTCAAATTTAGTAAGATTTAATAGCAGAAAAAGTTCCACTGTATTTCTGCGCGTGTTTTGTGTGTTTGAACAGGACTTACTAAATTTCTCTTCTGCAGTTTAAAGGAGGCAGAAGAAATGCTGTGATAATACAACAAAACTCCATCTGAAATATTAAGTAATTATTAGAGTAATACTTATGGAGAAATTCAACAAAATGTTTAGGCTGTATATCAAGAAATTCCTGATATTATTTGGATCTGTAATAGAATATAAGAGTAAGTTTTGTATTAAACTGAACAATTTTTCAAGAAAATGCATTGTTTAAAAAGAATTAATGTTTCCAGTGTGCTTTAAATATGCCCCTATGTTATGATTTTTTTTCTTTTATTTGTCGTCATCTGTTTCAGTACTCAGTCTTAAAGGCTGAGTTCTCTGCAAATGTTTTATTTTAAGCCACTCAAATTTAAATGAAGATAATTAGTTTTGTTGACTTCAGCAAGATTTCATTCAGGCAATCTCAATGATGGACACTAAAACTGGTCAGAAAGTTTAAAATAAATAAATAAAAGAGACATTAAATTCATTGTGAAATGTGTGTGTATATACATATATGTAAGCATAGAAACTGGCATAGAAATATACTGCTGTACTGCACTATGTTTTTTGTAAATAAAACATTCTTTGCAACTTGGTTCAGAAAGTTGCAGTCATCTGAGTTAAGAAAAGAGGAGTTATCCTTGTAACATACTGTCTTATTCTGCAGCATTTAAAAAACCTGAGCCCTTTTTCTGTCCCTAATATTAGGAAGCTGCATGCATCTTTGTATTTATTTTATTAACAGTGTTTCTCTTGGTATGTCTGTGTAGATTACCTTGAGAGCAGATTCTTCGGTTTCTTGATTTTTAATCTGCCTGTATGTACTGAGCAGTACCTACAGTAAGCATTAGGGAATCTTTTTAATGCACAGGTGATTGGTTAAAACCATCATCAGATTTTAGCTTTATCCTGAGAGCAGAGATGAATCTGCTTTTGAGGAATTTGTTCCATACAAAACTTGTTACGCAGCTTCTTTCATTCTTTGTGAAAGAGGAATTGGACAGTAAAAATCACTGTGATGTGTGCGTTTGTGTAGTTTTGTATAGGAGTATGTTGGTTCATGTCCTGTTGTAAGCTCATGCTGTGAGACATTAACTTTCAGAGGAGTTTTCACCTTTGAAGCACTTGCTTCACTGAAAATGCTGTTTGTAGTCAAGTATGTGTGGAAATATGGGTAAAATAATTCAGAAATTACCATTCACTGAAGTTTTTCAGTTTTTTGTTATCACTTGATGCCCTTCATCTTTGTCTTCATTGTGATTCAGTTCTGTAGTTTTGACCTCCAAGTTGCTGCTAGCATCATGAAACAGCTGCTGTATGTTGATCTGCAGCAAGCTCTTCACAGTTTGCCACTTCTTGCAGTCATCAGAAAACAAGACACTTAAGTGGCAAAGAACTCAACCTCGAGCTTCCTTTGCCCCCAGTCAGAATCTGCATCTTGTGCATCCTTTCCCCATGCTAAGTGTTCTCATGCTGTGAGCTAAGTTGTTTCTATTAGTTCAGGCTTTCCTCACTGTGAGTCCCCCAAGGAGACCTGCACCACTAACTGCTCTTTTATCTTTACACTTAGAAAATAGATAAAAATATTTTATCTGTTTGGAGCTATGTAATGTGTAGCAGAAGAAAGAACTGTCTTTAGTGAACTGAAACAGAAGAGAAATAAAAACAGAAGCTTAACAATTTTTTTGAATCCCAAAGGTCAAATTCATGTTGACAACAAACTGAAGTCTATTCAGTCTCAACTGGATCAAGGAGAAGAAGTGAACGGTGGGCTACTTACGTACCTCCTCGTGAGTAAGGAGCTTACTTTGGAGGAGATTTATGCCAATATGACTGAAATGCTCCTGGCAGGAGTGGACACAGTAAGCTTGTTATCATTTCTCTTGTGCACAATGTTTTTATTAATCAGTACCTTTCACATCTACCTTTGAGAGTATGAGGGTGGGATGGGGGAAGGTATACTGTTTTTAAGGGCAAGATTTCTGATACGTTTTTGTCATGATATCTTCATATGACAGAAAGCTAACAGGGTCAATAATGTTCTTTTCTAGCTGCAGTTTACAGGATCCCATCAGTTCCACAGTTTATTAGATGGACAAAATGGCATTTGTCTTTAAATTCAAATCTCATACATTTTCTTTTTGTGCTTTGAATCTCAGATTAGTATCTCTGCTTTTTGGGTAGACCACAATACCAAAGACTGACAAAAGTTAGTGTGAAAAAATTGATCAGTAAACTCATATGTAGAAATTGGTAAAGGATTTTTCACTTATGGGTTACAGCCACCTGGCACACTCATTTTGGATCAGACACCTTGTTTCTGCTAAAGTCCATAAGGCCAGCACTGATGTAGGGAAGGTGTGAGTTCACTTTTCCCCTATTTGTACTGGTAAGTTTCAATCAGTCTGAGACAAAGAGCTGTGCAGATGGGACTCGGTGTTACTAGGCTGGAGTACAAGGTAAGTTACATTAATAAAAACCATTTGAGTGGGCCAAGCTAGACTAAGTGGTGCATTTGTCCTCTTGAGAGGACTTGAAGAAACTTTAAGGTCATGTATGTGTATTCCCTTTCTCTGCCCTGTTATGGAGAATCGATGTATTAACTTAAGCATGACAATGAGAATATAAAGGTAAAAATTTATTGTATTGTATATACAATGCATATTATATAGAATATCAATGAACAGTGTTATTGTAAAATACTGTAAACACATTAAAAATAATGAATTTAATAGGGTACTATATTGGATTGTGGTTAATAGCCTTAAGGTAAAAAAGATTAAGTAGAAATGTAATGTAACTATGTAACTTTCAAAGCTTTTTTTTTTTTTTTTTTTTTTTTTTTTTTAAAGAAAAAGCTTTATAATTGAATGCAGATTTTTTTTGGTTTAAGAAAGTTTATGAGGTTTCTAAGGAAAACAAACAAAAAAACCTCCAATAGTAATACTTTTGAGTTCCAAAATAAAGAGCATATGTAATGCTTATTTATATGTTGAAGACTGATCTGTTGGTTAAATATCCCAAGGATTTATGAGTTTAAAGACCTTTTTGATGTCTGGCTCTTAAGTAAAACACAGTTACTCATTCATTTTCTGATCTTTCAGACTCTTAATTTTCCATTTCTAGTGTGTAAGAAAGTTTTCATTACATTAAAAGGACAGCATTCAAATACATGCCAGTGAGAGTTTCTCTTTTTGTTGAACTCAGTTTTCTCAGCTGGCAACAATCATTCTGTGAGAGGACAACACTTTTGATTTCTTCATTTCTGAGTACAAGGCAGAAATTAAGGGAACTTTTTTTTCCAATGTTCTGCTGTCATTTCAGTGCTCCTTTTGTCATAGAAACTGGAGGGTTAGAAGATTATAAAAGCTTTCAACAAAATTGTAAGGCAGCTTTTGGCTGCAGGGCATTTTGGCTGTCCCTAGAATTTTTAAGATGTTATGAAGGAGCTGGGCTCCTAGGAAGAGACTTTTTACATCACAGGAAGTTTAGCGTGCAGTTGACAGAATTGCCAGCTCCTCTGAGCTCTTAGAAGAATAGGGTAGGGTTGTATTTTAGCAAGGAACAATCAAGTCACTCAATATTACAAGGAGAAGAAAGTTTCTGAGAATTTCTTTTAGGGTTGTATCCCAGTTCAAATTTAGGACATTAAAGGTTCCCTTTATGATGAATGTGCATTCTGAATTGCTCTTAAATGCAAGCCCCAAATAAAACATTTCCAAAACTTCAGGTGGGAATTTTCAAGATATAGAAGACACTTCCTGTGGTAAGGCATTGTTTACTGTGGTAACAGCAGTTGTGTTTTGTGGATGGTGTGAACAGAATATTCTGTACTTAAAATGGGTTGATAGTGTTCTGAGCAGTATTCTCTCACTGTGTTTCCCATTTAAGTTTTTAGTTAGGTAGAAAGGTGGAACATTGAAAACAGTTAATTTGATCTGTTGCTGTTTAGAGTGTGCTGATGTTTCAGTATTGTTTATGTAGTTTTGTTTGCATTTGTTTTTTTTTTTCTGTTGATATTTAATACTTTACTAGAAAAATATCAGCATGGATTGTTTTGATATGTGGAGGATTTTTAGGTGCAAAAAGGCTGAAGGAGGGGGTGGTGAAGCCTGACAACATCCCATGGAATCCAGATGTTAGTCATTGCCAGTCTGTTTTATAACTGCAAACACACATACACACAAAAACCAACCACACAGCTGAAAACTCATTGCTTTTCTTGACTTGAAGTTTTAATCTACTCCTGTTGGATTTGATGGTAGTGATTTCTTTCTTAGACTTCTTTTACTTTGTCCTGGGCAATATATATGTTGGCAAAGCACCCTGAGGTTCAACAACGTGTTTATGAGGAAATAATCAATAAGCTGGGGAAAGACCAAGCTCCTGTTGCTCGTGATGTGCCCAAATTGCCTTTGATTAGAGCTGTGCTGAAGGAAACTCTGAGGTAAGGGTTTTATCAACCGTTGATTAAGAAAAGTAATTTCATGTGGCTGTAAGGAATTTTGAGTCCATGTTAAGGTTTGTGTTAGTATTTTCTGCTGTTTTCTCCTTCTGCTTTTACTTACTGTGGTATTCAAGGATACCCGAGCAATGAGATAAGATAGTTTGTATAGTTGTTAAATACTTTTTTCAGTATAGTAAAAGTATTATTGAATATTTAGGACAAGTCTGTTAAGGTAATTGAAAACTTGAGATTTGCACTTTATTATTCTGTGTATAGGACTGTAACAACCTACTGTACTTTGCAGTGCCACTACAGCCAATTTAAGCTTTTTGACTTAAATTGAAGGTATGTGACACGATTGTTTGGGTTTTCTTACGTTTATACCAAATGCTCACAGTGAGATTTTGCAGAATGCATCAACAAGCATTTTTCAGCAATCTGTATTGTAAAAGATATCTGCAACTTGAACAACTGATTGTGTATTTGTACATATATGTAACACTCATATAGAGCAAACAGCTCAACTTCCAGTTACTTGTAAATAACTTCTCTCTGATATTAATGATATTCTCACAAATGCTTCAAGGTCTTTTTATCTTTATTTAAGGTTATCAGTATATTTAAAAAAAAACAAAACAAACCAACACCTTTGTCCTCTGAATGTATATTGTACTGGAAATCAAATGTTTAAAGTTGTATTAATTACTGCTCTTGAAAGACTTAAATATTTGTCTCCAGGTTATATCCCGTATTACCAGGAAATGGAAGAGTGACCCAGAAAGACTTGATTGTTGGAGGATACTTGATACCTAAAGGGGTAGGTTCTGTTGCAGTTTTCTGGAGAGAACTCCAGTGGTGCACTGGAACGGGTTGCCCAGAGAGGTTGTGGACGCCCCATCCCTGGCGGCATTGAAGGCCAGGCTGGATGTGGCTCTGGGCAGCCTGGTCTAGAGGTTCACAGCCCTGCACACATAGCAGGCAGGTTGAAACTTGATGATCTTTGAGGTCCTTACCAACCCAGGCCGTTCTGTGATTCTATGAACTCAGTTTAGTTTTTGTATATGAGTTGTGATCTGTTACAGTTACTTGCACCTCATTAATTTAAAATCACCAATCTAGAATATTAAGGATAAAATACTAGTATAATGCTTGTGTATCTGACAAAAAGATGACTTTAAAATTGACCTGTTGCCATTGTTTTTTTCAGACTTGCTTCCTCACCCACTTACCATTTAACTTTTAACTTTTCTTGATATTCTGCAGTAGAGAGTTGATAATGCCTCTCTGAAATATTAGGATTTAATTTAAAAGAAAAAGCATTTCATTATTTTTGTCAGTTTTCTAGTACTTTGCCTACGTATTTCTGTTGTTGAAAGATCTGAATTTACTTACTTACAAATTCTTTTTTAATGCATATTGGAGTTGGTTAAATACAAATAACATTTCCTTTCTTTAGACGCAGCTGGCACTCTGTCATTATACTACTTCGTACAGCGAAGAGAATTTTCCAATGGCCAATGAGTTCCGGCCCGAGCGCTGGCTGCGGAAAGATAATTTGGACAGGGTAGACAATTTTGGTTCCATCCCCTTTGGTTATGGCATTCGAAGTTGTATTGGAAAAAGAGTTGCAGAACTGGAAATTCATCTTGCACTGATTCAGGTTAGAAATGTGTGACCGCATTACAGGAAAAAAAATATATTGCTATGGTTCTTTTTTTCTATGTACCATTTCTCAATGTATTATTGTGCACAAAAATATTGTTTTGGAGTGTTGTCAAACACTCATCCTTCAAAAGAGATTGCATGTGATAATGCATGAAGTGTAGCATACTAGTTAAACTACAGTGCAGATGAAAAATTCTTTATAGTACATATGAAGTGAAACTAAATGTAAGATTATTAAGGAAATGAATGGGATTAGCACAGAAGGTTTTTTTTATTTTAAGCAAAATGAAGAATTTCCTTAATGTATATTAGGATGGTTACCTGCTCAGTTGCAGTACTTTGGTTACAAAGAACTCAATACTTAGGAGTTGAAATGTTTTTAATATCCTTTTTCTGACCACTGTATTATGACAGTGAAATTAAATTACTGAGTTCTCTGTATTCTGTGTTTTCTGCTCTTTCTTCCTCCTCCTTCTAACTTTACTACCATTTTATAAACAGGTTTACATAATGTATAGTATGTTTTAATATTTGTAGCTTTTCTAACAGCTGCTGCATTTTTCTTGTCATTTACAAGGCTCCCTTTAAGTCAAATATTGAGACAAATTGTGCATCGTAACACTTATTTAGCCATAAAGGTAGATAGACATGATATCTATTCAAAGCACAGCTTCATTAAATTTGCCTTTAAAATTTCGTCAGGTAAACATCTAGAGCAATCTCAATAAAAAATAGCATCTATCTTTTGGAACTCAGGGTGAGATAAGTCTTAGGGGGCTGAATAAAGCAAAACACAGTTGCAGCTTTTTGAACAAGAGAGTCAAAGAAGTTGAAAATATCTATCTTTTGTTTTTTTGGAAAGAGTAGAACAAAATGCAACACAATCTATTTACAAGCACAAAAGTACTTTAGTTGTTTAAACACATGAAGCATGAAACTGACAAAGGAGAATTTTTTAGATAATTCTCAATTCTTTTCTTGACTTGGTTATTTATCTAGTGCCATAGATACATTACAAGTTGTATTTTGTAACTTCAGAAAATATTTCTCACATGTCCTATATATTGTTCTCACAAGTAAATTAATAATTTTTTTTCTAGATGATATACCTATAAAATACATGCAGAGCTGGTTGAAAAAAATAGCTGGAGGCAGTAATTGTCAAAAAAATATGCTGTTAAACAGAGAAAGTGCTGTATTAAAATTCTGTAGGAGACTGTCTTGCATTAAGTTTAGGTTGGTCTTTTCATTAACAGTGTAAAATATGAATTAAAAAGATGACTCTGCATTGCATTTTAAAGACAATACAGGCAAATTGGAAGAAATTAGGAAGAGGTGGAGGGTAGTAAGAATGAAAGGCCTGAAAAACAGAAGAAAATTCAACTTGTCATCTACAGTTAAAATGTACCTGATATATATGAAAGTAATGCATTGTTTCATATTCTTACTGTGAGAGGGCTGAGAGAAGATAGCTTGATTTCTAGGAAAAGAAGCTGAGAATGCTGCAGTATTTCCTTTGTTAAAGTTTAAATATATATATACACCAGAAGTATTTAAGTGTTCAACTTAAAACAATGGTGGGCTAAATGTCTTGAAGTTTGCTTTAGCTCACTATTTCTATGATTTTTGTTTCAAAAAAAGAGATGAGTTTTTGGTTCTCTCACTTTCATTGAGTGTATGGGAACAAAAGTTCCAATGTATAGAGAGCCTGTGTGGTTGAATTGTACTGGTTCTACTCAGGAGAGATTTTTGTATCTCACTTCCTGAATTATGATGATTATGGTGCACCGGATTGCCCCTGACTCAGGTTTTGTTTTTTATTCATTTGTTTTATAGTTGCATATACTGATTTATGGTAAAATAAAAAATTCATGACAGGAAGGCTCACAAGATTTGAAGGATACTTCAGTTTCTTTGATAGCTCGGATGGTTTAACCTAATCTTGTTGAAATTCTTCAGAAAAACCTGATCTCAGGTTTTTTTTGTTGATTTCGTTTTTTTTTTTTTTTTTTTGAGAAAGTCTTCCTCAATCATAGGATGAAGATTTTAAACTATAATCTTTACTTTGCACCATTTTTTTTTTTTCTTGTGTAAGAATCACAGTTCTCAGAGTCTATAGAAGAGAAAGATGAAACTGACAGCTGAGATACTGCTTGTGACAGTCTCTTACATTTTCTTTTCCCAAGTTTTCATCTATTCTTCATCTGTAATTTTGCAGGTTTTCTAATATTTGTCTTATTTGTCTTTACAGTTGCTTCAGAATTTTGAGATCAAAATTTCTCCGAAAACTGAACCAGTTCACGCAAAAACCCATGGACTTTTGACTCCTGGAGGCTCCATCAATGTGAGATTTTCTGACAGAAAGTGAGACTGAGATATTTTGGAAATACTCGTATGATTTTCAGGGGAACAGGCTTGCATCTAATGGACGTTTGATCGTAACATGTTCTCTGGTTTGTAGTTTCTTCACAGTATGACCAAGTATTAAGTTCTGCCTTATACCTAGCAGCACATAACAAAAGTTACCTCTCTTGTAACTGATAATTACACGTTTGAAGATACATGCTAAAACAGCTCCTTCTTGCACTGGGATTCTCCTACTTGTATTTCAAGTTGTAGCAGCACATGCATTTGGGAAAAAAAAAAAAAAAAGTAAAACACAGACATGTTTTTGTCATTCAGTGATTTTGTTACACTATTTTATAGTAAAAGTCAGTTATTCTTGAAAGTTATTAGAGAGCAAAAGAATTGTTATCTGGTATTAGCTGCATTTAGGAGTTTGTGTTTTTGTTTCTTGTCCTCCAAGTGTGTTCTTTAAAAATTTCTACATAACATTAAAAATTAGGTGATTTTCTCTTGTCTGTAAAAACAAACAAACAAAACATTTACACTACATGTATTTAAAATATTAACACAATAATATGAAATGTAAAGATTGAAAAAAATATAATTTGCATCAGTTTTAGTCTCAAAATTCAAAACAATTTACAGTTTATCTCAAATACAGAGTCCATAAAATATTGCCATATAATTTTCTTAAAAAAAAAACAAAAACAAAACATAAAGTTTAAACAATTCATTGTAGATTTGGGAACCTAGATGTTGTCTTATCACCAAAGGAAAAGCTGAGTGGAATAGCACAAGCCACTTTCACTGTTCTAGCTAATATTATGCCAAAATCCACTGTAAATAAGAAAAATGAAGAAGTTGTTACACTTTAATCATTTAATGAAAGTACTATTGAATATCTTCACAGTTCTTCAACAGTAAGAACTGGAAACTTCCCCTTGTAGTGTGCTGAACTCATAGGCAGATACACGCGTGCTATAGGATGGGAATGTGACTACTGAGGTATTTGAAGGCATTTATTTTTTTTTTCCTGTTGTCCAATATGAAGTGTGGACAACAGAAATATTTTTGTTTTTGCTTTATTTTTTCTGTAACAGCTAACAGAGATGTCTTTTGCATGAGACTTCAGTCTTCAGATAAATTTTCATGTCTCTGTACACTAACCTTACGTTCTCCTTCTGAGAGAATCCTTGGGAAACCTTGGGACCATGTTGTGCCTTCAACAAAAGTCAAACCTGCCTATCCTATTATGATATTATCTATATGATAATGTACAGTTAACTGTTTACATGTCAGGCTTTGACTGTTGTTTGTGAGGCAGTTTACATACTGATAATCATAGATATTCAGATGTGCCAAGATGAAAGTTGTGCAACTCGGTGTTTAAAATGACATTTTTCTATTCACATCTGACTATAAAATGGCAAAGGTAAGTTATGAATGAAATAACATGCTTTAGTTAAAATGGTATACATGAGATTTCATGTAGCTAACCATTATAGTCATATTTTTTGGTAGTGCTTTGGTTAGTTTTTGTAGTATATTTTCAAGGTCTTGATGGAAGAAAAATATTCCTTTATAATAATAATAGTCAACAAAATTGATTTGATCTGTGGGAAGATTAAATGTTTACATGACTTTAAAATGTCGGTACTGCATTGAGCATATACATGTATATGTGTACTACAGGATAAGCAGGTAATTTCTGGAAGTTGGTTTTTTTTTTTTTCCTTTTTTTTTTCTTTTTTTTTCCTTGAATGAGCTGGCATTCTGATTATGTTGGGTTTTTTTCCTCCAGGAATTCGCATTATTGCCATTTATTTTCTGTTCCATTGTTATTTCTAATATGAAGTAGAATGGAGAGTATTTGCCAGAGCCAACTGGCATCTGAAGGGGATGTTTTTTTGCAAAGGTTTGTGCAGTCAGTGAGTTGAATATACTTCATAACTACCATTTTATTTTGACCTGAGGACCAAAGCCCCAAATCCTAAATCCAGATACTGATTCCTTATAGGGTCTTTTTTTTTTTTTTTTGCATTATCATAGCATTTTTGGAAGCACCAACCATTGCTATGTAGCAGTATTTTCTGCTTGATACCAGTTCCTAACTAATGCAGTGTAAAAGAGGAAAGAGGAAAGAGGTGCTCTTGAAAGGATTTCAGTATTTTCATGAAAACCTGTAATTTGTGTTAACAGAGCATCTATTCATGTAAGTTGTCTTTTTTTACATAATAAAGTATTTATACAGAATATATAAGTTCTGGTTCTTATTTTATTGTTAATTATAATTGTGTTTTTCTTTAGTATCCTGAAGTTTTTAATTTCCTAGATAGAACTGGAAAGTTCATTATTGCATGGGAAATTACTTTTTCAACTAGAAAAGAGAGGGATTAATATGAGAATTAAAAGTGTATAGTGACCCAGTTGAAGGAGAATTATATAAAAAGCACTGCCATATTGGAGGAAAGTTGCTGGCAAAGTTACATAAATAATGTGGACTGATCACAATGTCACATTTTGATTAATGATGAATGCTTAATACAAAGGAGTGTGTAAATGATATAAAGATTGGAGGAAGAAATAGTAGGGAAAAAACAACATAGAACATAGTAATAAGGATGGGGTGGAATTCAATAGCAAAATGTGTTTTTAGGGAATAAAAAGATTTATCTGAGGAGGTCCCCTGTTGAAAATGAAGTGTGTAGACATGGCTATAAATTGTAAGTACGTTGAAATTATGAAAAATGTGGACTAGGAGGTATCAGATGAACATGTCTGGTAGAGATTAGGAAAAAAATAGGTGAGACTACATCTGAAATGCTGTGTACAGTTTGATTATTTCACAGAATCACAGAATCGTAGGGGTTGGAAGGGACCTCCAGAGATCATCGAGTCCAACCCCCCTGCCAAAGCAGGATCCCTACACCAGGTCACACAGGTAGGCGTCCAGGCGGGTCTTGATGAAGTTTGAGTTGAATAGGTAATGTGGCTACTAGGGTTATCAGGTTAATAAAGAAAGTTTCTGTGTGTGGAGAAAGAGTTATATCTATGATGCATTTTACTCTGCCTTCCTGTGATTTAAGCAGACCAGAACAGAAGCTTGCAGATCCAGCCCTGGCACATCCGAAGGCTATGTGACTGTAGGCTTACTAGAACTTGTTTCTTTGGGCATGAATCTGTTCTAGCTTAATTACACATTTTCCAATTGGATTTGGTAGGTGATAGAGGAGCCATGGATGTCTGTTAGCAATTAAATATATCTTAAAAAATTTTTTTTTAAATTCCTTTGGGCAATCCAGAGAGTGAAAATTGAGAGAGGAGATAAAACATTCTTTTCAAATACCTGCAAGTGTTTATCCCTTAAAGGGCAGTGCTGCCCAAAGCAGGTATCTCCAGATAGTAAACTGAATGAATGAAAACACTGCAAATGGTTATTAAGAAACATAGATTCCTTTATTGTCTCTGTAATAAATTCCTCTTATTTTTTTAATAGAATTACTCTTTTTTTTTTTTTTTTTTAAATGATAATCCATACATTTAAAATTAGAATCACTGTATTCAGTCAGTCTGTTCTGTTTAATTTTTTTTACTCTATTGTGGGTACATAGGCCTGAAAGGAATCTAAAAGCAATGGTGAAGTAGTCATACCACAGCAAAATTTTATGCCAGTGGTGAATGAAACTTACAAGCTCCTTAAGTACCCAGTGCTGATGTGGCTGTGAAGATGGAGAGTAGCATGGCTGGCAGCTCTGAGCTTGAGTGAAGTAGGCAATGGGGGGGTGCTGGGAGGTAGGTGGATGAGCTGTTCTGCTGAGCACAGGATCAGGTAGGGAAGTTGGAGAGCCATGCAAAGTGTAGGCTTTGGGGTTGTGCCACACAGATGATCTGTGGAAGCGTGTGCGAGATTGAAGTTAAAGAACAGTAGACGGGAGTTATGGGCTGTTTGTTCATAGGATGAGGGAGAAAGAGAAATGGAATAAGGCAAGAGAGCAATGTGGGCACCTGATGTGTGTGCTATTTCCACTAATACAAAAAACCCATGTTTTTTTTATAATGCAGTTTTTCCTTCTCATGTTATGTTTTCACATGTTCATCATGTTTTTTCAAAAAAGCTATCATATACCTATTAAAGATAAATATATCTGTTACACAAAATTCAATATCCTCTGTGATTAGTGCATGCAGTTGCACCTTTGTATTTTCAATGGATTCTTTTTAATAGAGCTTGCAGATGCCTGATTATTTTCCATGTTCATTCTGAATTGAAAAACAAACAAAACAAAGAAAAAAACCCACATGTATGTCATACCACTATCTTAAAAAGAGTTTAATCTGGGAGTTTCACTTTTTGCCTATGCCATTTTTCTCAAAGCAAGCTCTGAAAATCCTACAGTGTAGTTTTAGTACCACTAGATGGTGCTGCTTTTCTAGTAGTCCTCATAAAAGACTGTTGTGTACCGAAGGAAAAATAATAGTAGAAATGGCTAAAAGCCATGAACTTACTATAGCTCCCTGAAGATAGAGGGCTTTTGTTAAATGTTTCAGACTCTCAGCCATTCTGTATGCAAGTGTGTAGATGTGCTCAAATGGTGTTTGTTTTTGTGAATACTTGCTTAAAATAGGACTTTATAAATAGCTTGTAGGATGGTATGTTCAAAGTTTCATATAAGTCTCCTTAGAGAAAATCCAGCCTTTGCAGTCCTGTATGCCTTCTGCTAAAGTTTCACTTTAATGGAGTTTGTTAATCATTAAGCTTTGGCAGTTAACCTGTTATCATGCAAAACTGGAAATTAAGACAGATGCTACTCTGAAGAGATTACATTGTAGGTAAGGTAAGAGTAAAGGAGGGCAGGAAATATTTGAGAGATATATTGCTTGTTCCATTGCGAATTTCAGTCCTGCATTATAGTAAGCAGTGGATCTTTTGACAACATTTGAAGGATGTTGTACTAATCTTGGCAATGCATGAAACATACTGTTTGCTGTCAAGTGTTTACCTAGTTGGGAAACAATTAAATTGAAGAGTAAACTCACTCAAGCAGCTCCCCCTGCTGAGATAAAAGGAAAGTCGGAATCGGGGATATTGGTTGTGTCTAAGGGATAAACAATTCCAAGAGAATATTTGCGGCAGTTGAGTTTTAGGATAAAGTCTGCTTGTATCATTTTAATATTTCAAATCAGCCAAAACCAGAATGTCTGTATAAATCAATGGATGAAAGGGATGAGCAACCTTGTTCAGATTGCATTGCTTCTATATTTTTGAGGGTAAAAACAAAAATTTGAAAGCATGCAAAAACGTTTGT